AAAAAAAAAAAAAAAAAAAAAAAAAAAAAAAAAAAAAAAAAAAAAAAAAAAAAAATTATCATCAGTTTCCTTTTGAAAAATTACTGTAATTAAATTATGAACATGCACCGTCTGCCTTAGAGTGTGCTGTTATTTGTTTGAAAATTCTGATTTTTTTGAACTTACCTTTCTCAGGAAACTTACGAAACACTTTGGAATTTTTAAAGGGGGTATAAGTACAATTTTGAAACTTTTATCACTCATTTTGCTTTTTTATGTGCAACATGGAAGTATAACCTTTAGACAGGGACAGATAGTTAGAGACATCGCTTCTTTTTCCAAAATAAAAATAGTATGTTGGAAAAATTTTAAAACTTTTGAAAGTACCCGCTGAAAGACAAAAAAAAGGACAATTTTGGACTTAAGCCCCTCTACCAGAAACCGGCTACAACTAAGATATATTTGTTTAACGAGTCCAAGCTTGCTCTTAATATTACACTTCCCTATCTCTATTCCCATGGCGGGACTCATCACGGCACACGACCATTGGAGTGGCCGACCAATCACAACGCAGGGAAAAGATGCGTGACCTCTCAACGATTCATACCCCGATCGATCGACATCTGACCGTGAAACGCAAGTCTTATCTATGCCCGGCGCTACCAGTTGGCAGGAAATTCTTTAAAATTTTCTCCGCCTCCTATGGGCATTAAAAAGTTTCCCATGGAGTTTGGCAACATTGACTGCCTTGAGAAAATCACGGTTTCGTACTGTTTTTTCAGCGATTCCCGAAGTTTTGTCCCACCACAAAACGCTCTCGCCCTCAGACGCAGAGCACCGTCCCAGGAGGAACAGTTCCATCGAAGAGTTCAGCCGGAAGGGATTGAACTGTCGGGATCACGTTGAAAAGTTCAATCAGTAAGGATTGAATTGTCGAGAATAGAGTGGTTTTCGTTGAAGATTTCAATTATAAAGGATTGAATTGTCGCGAGTAGTGCGGTTTTGTTGAAAATTTTAGTCCGAAGGCACTAAATTGTCACGGGAAGAGCAATTTTCGTCGAAGATTTCTGTCGAACTTTCGCGAAATGCGGTTAATTTTAGCAGCCCTAGCCGTAGCCTGCTGTGTGCTCTACTATGTTGCCAAGTTTGTCCGTAGTTACTACAAAGCGTACCAGCATCTGAAAGTGGTCCCTGGGCCACCGCGGGACAATTTAATCTTGGGACATGTTAAAGATCTCTTCTTGGATCCTGCAGGTAAGCCTTTATCAAATGGAATAGTCGTTCTCGAAAAAGTGCTCTACGTGCAGCTAAAAGTGCATCCAGCTCCGAAAAAAATATAGACACAACGAAAAAAGGGAATTTCATTAAACTTTTTCGCTCAATGAAAAACATTTTTGACGCATGTTACTTGTTTTATTTTCAAAGATACAAATTTTTAAGAAAACATTTTTTTAAATTTTTTTTCCACTCTTTATTTTCAAAAAGAGTTTCATCGTTAAAAATATGAAAGTTTTCATTTTTCAATTGTGCATTTTGGATATTTTTACACCTTGGAATTTTCAAAACTCGTGCCTTTTTTGTGCAGAATGATAAATATAAAAAATAAGGAACAAAATATACGCGTGACTGAATTAAAAGGCTACCTCTATGATTGTAGGGAGTTTTTTTTTCCATTGTTCTGGTTGGGCACTTTTTAAACAACCGATTCATTTTCGACACATTGGTACGACCCGAAATGCACCTTGAGCCCCTAAATCATTTAAAGCAATCTTCTATTTAAACCCTACCCATTTATTTTTACCAAACATGTTTTTTGGCCTTTATTAAAAACTCAAATTTGGAATCATTTCAGTTTTCCTGGGACTAAGAATTTCCCAGAAATTTTGAAACATACTTTTAGCCTCTCTTACGTTATATATCTGCAGGTCGCTTCACTGAAAAGTAAATTTTATATTTTAATGTCCGCATCAACTCTGTTGCGTGCAATATGATTTCATTTATTCACCGCATCTGCAAGAAGTTTTTTTGATCACCCGGGTGCAAGGTTTGCCTTAGGAGGAACGTAAGAGAAGCTATCCTAGATTGATAAACAAACGAATGTACCTTTGCGAAATTTTCCTCACATAAGATTTCAATTGTGTTTAAACGATTATTTCCTTCTTATGACCCTAAAATGAGACAAAAAAAGTATAACCCATACGTAAGTGATAGATTTTCCAGTTTATTAGATCTGATGTTCGTTCAGGCTAGGTTTTTCCACGTTCCTCTTGGGCAAGGCTAATTGCCGTCCACTAAACAAACTGCATGTGGGCGCAGTAAATGAAAACAGCTCGGACCTACAGCTGCGGCCCTCGCTAACTGTGCATTGCAGCGGCGTGGCGTAAATTGCAATATATCGATCGTTATGCCATTTAAACCTATGGGAAAGGATCGATAAACAGGGTGTTCGCAGCGAACACCTCAATAATCGATTCTTTACCATAGGTTTAAATGGCATAACAATCGATCTATCGCAATTCACGCCACGCCACTGGTGCATTGAGGGGTGGATTTTAGACATTCCTGAAAGGCTCATCGTGATTTTTGTGGAATTTCATGTCTTGTAGGAAGTCTATTCATAGTCTATTCATAGTTTGATGGATCTCTTGTGAGCAAGATACACACTGACACACAACAGACATTAAATCAACGTGTTGTCAGCTGGCATGTAGCTCGTGAATGAAAAATATTTTTCTACACATTATCTTTCCGAGGAGACGGATATCTGTATTTACTATTTTCACGTTTCTAAGGAGTTACAAATACAGACAGTAGACGTCACAGACGTCATAAATTGACGTCAATTAATAAGAAACTTCATTATCGCCGTTCCATCATTTAAGCCCCCTCCAGCATAGTATAAAAATGCATCCGATAAAAAAAAAAATTATCTTTGAGTCATAGACGTACTGGATTCACGATAAGTTCTAAGTAAGATTTTATCGAGATGCTTACGCGCTCATGCGCCGAGGAGGGAAAATGGGATTGCTTCTCGAAAATTGGGGGTTATTTCAATCCCAAAAGAGTTTTTTGTAAAAATAGCCATAATCAAGACATTTATCGGTAAAAAGCTCTCGAGTTCACATTTTACATTCGGTATCTCTCACAACACAAGAGTCGTGTTCACAGTTTTCAGGAGGATGCATATTTGATGGATTAATGTTTTTGACTGGTCCTGTTCACATTCTATTGACTACCAGTAACCATCTCGCAGCAATAAGTTCTCCTCATCCGGCCAAAAAACATGGACTTCCTTTTCCACTCCTGTGGACTCGTCATCGCGAATAACACAAATCTTACTCGGGTGGTCGAAGCGCGAAGCGCACAGGGGGTGCACCCCCTAGTTGCCAATCGAAGATCGGAAAACGAAAAATCGTAACCGGAAACTTGATAAAACGAGGGTGGAAAGGAATTAAAGCGGAAAGCAACCAATCAGGCGTTACTTTTCCTTTAAAGTGGAGATTTTTAAAGATACACAATTGAATGGACTGCATTTTGCAATTAGGAACTATACATTCCGGCCCGGTTTAAAAACAACGTATTTGCTATTAGTTTCCCTATGCACATAAGTGTTTCTTCAGATAAGCCAGAATTTATAGCTCCAAATTGCAAAATGCAGTCCAAATAAGCTATGAAAGCCAGAAGGAAAATTGCCCAAACCATTTAATTTTCTTTCACGATTTAAAACTGGAAAATACCAAAGAACCATTTTTAAGGGGGGGGGGGTGGTCTAATCTTCAAACACATCCTGAAATGCCCTAAAATCGATCGGAATTGACTAAAATAAGTCCGGTGCGGTCGACTGTGAGAAATGCCTCCCTCTTTTTCCCTGAGCAAAGGCGTCAAAAATAGCGTACGACCTCTCATTACTCATCCTTTTTAAGAAACTCAACTTTGCTGTGCGGTAAAATTGTAGTATGCGTTATACAAGTAAGATAACATAGGTGACGGAGACTACGAAGAAATACTTGCAGGTTTTCTACCAATTTATTTTTTTGTTGAAAACCTGGAACACTACAATGGACTCTTTTGCTCACGATAGGGGCCTAGGTACATTTTTTATGGCTGAAATTCACAGTTCTGCAGTCATAAATCTTCCCGTAAATTTCATGTCTAGTAGAAGTACCGCGCAAAAAAGAGCGACAAAAAAGGCTCGCCTCATTAAGGTGCAAGTGTGATTCACAGCTAATTATCTCTAATTATTTATCAATGAGTCTCGCGGGAGCTTTCGGTTCGTTTAGGGCAAGCAGGATGACCTCGAGGCTTCAACGCAAGTGGACTATATCAGCGAGTTAACGACTCATTACGAGGTAGGAGATCGGAGATAGTGTAGTGATAACGGTGATCGATGAGAAATTACTGACGAAAATACTGTCAATGAAAAAGTAAGCAGGAAAGTAAAGCGAAAATCATCTTAATTTCCGCGTAAAAAAAAATTATCAATGCGATATTTTGCTGAGTACCTCAAAATCCTTGGCTTTATTATTTGCAATGTCAAGGTCTCCCAATAGAATTGCCAGAACATTTGATAGAGTAAGATTAAGCATGGAGACACGTGTTTTTTTAAGTGCAATCAATTCCGCAATAATGATTATTGATTGCACTGAGCGAACTTTTTCCGTAGCGTAGTCAAAAGATTTTCATGGAGAGGGGTCTGCGAGAGGTCCCGAATATGGTGGAAAATTTAATAGGATTTAAGGGAATCCATCCAGAATATATGCAAAGTGTCCCAGAGTTATACTGTCCGGCGAGTCCAAGCGTGTGATCTAATGTTACAAAAAGAAAATTATAAAAAAAAGTTGTCCTCCTAAAATCTTTTGCCCACACTTGCTCCTAGTTGGAGCTACAGCCTCCCCACATTTTTGGGGAAATCATTGGTTCCTGAGTTTTGGTGACGGTTCTGAACCATAAAAAATGGTCATTGCCATGGTATTTAGCGCTGAAGTCACCAACGACGTCAAATATTTCGAAATCAGAATGAAGTTCGGAATGGAATTTCAGGAGACTTTGGATCTTTTAGTACTAATCAGTGGCGTGGCATGCTTTGCGATATATCGATTGATCGGTCATTTAAACCTACGGAAAAGTATCGATAAACAGGGTGTTCACAGCGAACACCTTAATAATCGATTATTTACCACAGCTTCAAATGGGAAAATATCGATAGATCGCAAAGCACGCCACGCCACTGTACTAAAAACTTGCTTTTTCTCCTCAACCCCTTAGTTTCCCGCTCCAACTTAAGATTTTGATAGTTTTTTAGGTCATGAGCAAGTTCAGATTTATTCAGATTTCAGGGAAGGTGGTAGTCTTTCACGAGTTTTCCCCAAAACCGTCACAAAAATTTAGGATAAATTATTAGTCCCTCAAAAAATTTGAGGAGTCATAGCTCCAGATAAAGGTACCTACTTTCGGGAAGGAATATATTAAAAAAGACTCATTTTGACTCACACAACAAAAACCTACAGTCTGTTGATTGAACACATTGAATTGGTCTGAAAAAAGTCTATCTATTTGCAATTGCCATTGCAAAGAGATTAATTTTTCGCCTGCAAATGAGTCAATGTGGATTAATTTAACCATTAAATCATTTTAAATGTATTCACGCTGCTTCTTGCCATTCCACGTTTTGTACTCGCAACGTCTTTTGTAGTTAGGATGATTCAGTGGCGATCATTAGAAGTTGGTAACACAGTATTTCCTCCATTTAAATGTATGTAAAACAATCGCTTTTTGGTGAGGTAGCTTGTCTCGCCTGCAATCGATATTTTCAATGGATTTATTGGAGGATTAACAGTGTTGCCAACTTGAAAATCGCCACTGGGCTGATTCTGTTTGAATCCATAAATGTCATATTGTAACAACTTGAAATCCTCGCATATTCAGTTGTATTCTACATGATCGTGAGTATCTTATTTTCGTATTTTTCTTCTCTGAGCGAATAAAACCATGCAAAATATTTCAGGAGCAATGTAGTGAATATGGAATGAAACAGTGCGAGACATGGCAACATGTTAATCTTATTACTTGAAATTGCTCCTTTGTTTAGGCAGCGTCAAAAAACTGATTACATCAAAATCTACGTGTGAAAAATTCATGCAGATACACATTTCTGAGCTTTTAATTTAATCATTTTTACAGATTTTATCGAAGAATCAAGGGAGCGTTTAAAACTCTACGGACCGATTCAGAAGGTGTTCTTGATCACTCATCCCTTCGTGCTGGTTGCTGGAGCTCAATACGCAGAGGTATAAGAGTACTGCTTAATTGATTAAAATTCTAATTTTTCAAATAATTTTTATATTGAGAATCGAATCGATTATTTTCCAAATGAGTTAGGCCCCGACATTTCAGAAATGAGATTTTATTGCATTTGTATCGCTCGTCTTGAGATGCGTTTTACAGCAAAACAACGTTCAAGAATATCAAGTTTTAAAACCTCAAAGTAGCTTTTGAATTTACGATTTTTATACAGACACATCGCGGTTAAGAAATATACAGGTATAGATTATTTCGTTTTTCTTGAAATCGCGCTTGTGGTATACATGATTTGGAGGACTATCGCTTCAAGTAACATCTTGCGAGACCGCGAAATGTGCATACACAATGTGTGCCTGTGCGTCACATTAATTCCTAAATGAAGGGTTTTTTTTGCCTATTTATTCAATGGAAGGAGAATTACCCTCTGACGCTAACTTGTAACGGCTCTTAATGCAACACAATTACGCTACCCCCTTCATTTTGATGATTATTTAAAAGCGAGTATCTACAGTTGTATCTACATTAAGTAAGTGTGCCCTCGAAGGTTGCCCTCTGCCTAATCGTTGAAATGTTATCGAAAGATCTAGATCGATAGGCAAAGTTACTAGATTTTGGAGGGAAAAGTGCGGCTATTTTATATAGGTTTAAATGGAGAAATGTGCTGATTTTTCGAAATTATTTGGCAAAGATGTTGATAGATAACATTGCAAAAAAAGGATTTATCAATTCTAGTCTGGTCATTTGATGATCGATCTGTATATGTGTGACATCTCTCAGCAGCTTTTTGGTGGAGATTCTGGTGGCTTGATGGTATATTGGCTTTTCTAATTATTGCGCATTTTATTTCAGTAAAAAAGCTAAATAATTTTAAGTGAGACAAGCCAGCCTCTAGAAAATAGAAGAACCTAATTTTAAGTAGATTTCACTCAGTGCTGATAACTGCTGCCTTTATATTGTAATCATTTGCGATTTTCGCATAATTATTTCTGTATAATCTATATACATTTTCAAAAATTTCAACCATCAATTATAAGATAACCTTAGCTTTTCATCTAAGCCAGGCCTGGATGAGTAGATCTCTGAATATACTCACTTCTTTGGAATAGAAACCAGCATAGCAATGGTGGTCGGGTGAACTAGGAGTTGCTGTCGTGATCAAAACTTATAATATGAGAAAACCCCAGGAAAGTCATTAATTCTAGTGTGTTCTAGTCATTATCAATAATCTTACGCGTGGTTGTTAATCTTTGATGGAATATCCTTCAATACTCGTATATATAATCGATTAATCAAGTTACACTGGAAAAAAGTAGCTTGGATCTAGAGTCCAGACTCTTGAAAAAAATGATGAGAAAAAAACTCTTGATTCAATCGGATTTTTGCTTGAATCAAAAAGAAATCCGCTTGGATTAAGAGGCTTGGTTCTCGATCTAAGCAAAAATCCGATTGAATCAAGAGTATTTTTTCTTTTCGATGTTATTAAGAGTCTGGGCTCCAGACCCAAGCGACTTTTGTTTCCGGTGTACTTTCGTTTTGATGAAAAAAACAGCAAATTTGTCCGTCTGATTTGAGTTATCCAAGAAATATGGTCTAGTTTTGAGTTATATATTTAATTATGTGTTATTCAGGTATTTTTTACGAACAAGCATCTGCAGTGCAAATCGGAACTTTACAGATTCATGCACTTTTGGCTGGGCCAAGGACTTTTAACAGCTTGTGGTAAGAATTGCAATGCATTTTTTTCCATTGTGGCGTTTTTAAACGTGATGAATTACACGCAAATGATCTGACGATGAACATTCTAAACTGATCCACCTTAATGAGATTAGCTTTTTAGTGTATATTTTTTTTTCTCTCTCTCTTTCTTCAATTATACTTGTCCACGAAACCGTAATACCAAAAAAATTAAGATCAAGTCATTACAAATGTATACTTAAAGGAGGATATTTCCGAAAATGTCAAATTTAATTGGCATTGTAGCTGTCTAGAAATTGAAGTTAAAATATTTGATTTTGAGAAAAAAGCATGCGATTTCACGGAAAAGGAGCACGAGATTGTTTCATGATAATGGATATTTCCAATTACGTGTGGTAGTGCCCTAATAAATTAAGTTACTAACCCATATGTTGTGGTAATACCCCAACTTGAGGTGCGGCATTACCAAAATTAATTGAAAATGTTTGTATCATCCAACAAATTGGAGTAGTACCACAATTTTAGGGAATAACCTCTGGCACTTTTTTCCCGTGTTTACAGTTAAGCTCGAGATTCAATATTACTGGATTCGAATGCAATTTTTCACCTCCGATTCACGGAGAAAAATAAAATCAACTTTGCTTTAAGTTACGCCGGACGAGATAGAGTTTAGACAAACAAGTCACCTAGTAGAGGAAGAACAGTAAGAATGTGCTGAGGACAATCGCCGGCTGTGTCCGATTGCGACTTGGAAGAGTAAAGCAAAATTGGACTGCATTTTGCAATTTGGAACTATAAATTCTGGCTCTTCTGGAAAAACACTTACGTGCATTGGGAAACTAATGGCACATACGTTGTTTTAAACCGGGCTAGAATTTATAGTTCCAAATTGCAAAATGTAGTCCAATTATCATCCACCGCATGTGCTGAGGTCCGGATTCAGGTGCTCAGCGCGGTTCTATTTTTCTCAGCGTCAACTATGCAAGATTACATGATAAGACCTTGTAAGAATACACAAAATATAAAATTTACAGACTGGAAAATTATCCTCGTTGCTTTAAATTGTCGATCCACCGGGGTTGGAAAAGCATAATACAAGCACATCTCCCTCAAGATCCTGTTTATTGGTATTTACGGTGTATGCATATTGATGTGTCCCCCAGGGCCAAGATGGCAGAAAAGCAGAAAACTTCTCACGCCATCTTTTCACTTCAACATCTTGAGCAGATTTTGTGACGCGTTCACGGACAACTCCTTGACTTTGGTCGAGAAAGTACATGAGGCTGGTGGAGTTTCAATTGATGTTTTCAAGCTGATGGGGCTCATTGCTCTAGACAATCTTTGTGGTAACCTGTGATTTCAGTGTTTTTGCTTTTCGGCGATATGACATAACTGTCACATATACTACCGTGCCAAGGCAGAACGCCGTATGTACTTTCGAGAGTTGCCAGATTTCCTCCGATAAAACGTTTATTTTTGAGTAAAGTTATGAATATTTTTCCGTAAGATCAATTGAAAATCTTACGAATATGTGTGAATATAATATCTCGAAATATAAGTGATTTGTCAAAGGAAATTTGGCAACTCCTGACGGCTCATAATGCGTTTTTCCTTAGCACGGCAGTATATAATATTTCATGGGTACAATTATAGCATACAAAAACGTTCCTTTTTGATTTTTCAGAAATAATAAAAATGTTTCTCAGAAATTTTAGAGAGCCTGGACATTCTTAGTTGTATCAAACCTCACCTCGCAGAGTGCCCTTAGCGCGCCGTATAAGTACATACATGTACATACATATAGAACTTGTACACACAAGTATTTGTACATGCATATAGAAAACCTTTTCTGATTATTATTATTATTAACATTTTTTTTCGTACGAGGTAGTTTGGGTGTTTCCAAGGAAACACCCAAATCTGTAAAAACCTTTTGCTGTTAGAAAATTATAAACATACACAATATGAAAATTCCCTTAACTTTTCTCCTAAAAGTTTTCAAAGTATTTTTGAGATATTTTAATTTTTTCAAGCTTAAAACAGACGTCGCTGAAACATTTTATAGTTTCCAGAGATACTTTTAAAACAACCTGCAAGTTTAATTGTGCTATTTGAGCATATTTAATCATTATACCATATATTGTTTTATTTCTTTTAGATACCGCGATGGGTGTGAAAATCGACGCTCTAAGAGATCCGAAAAATCTTAAGTACATTATTGCTACCGAAGAGTAAGTTTTGAAACCTTTCCTAAGTAAAATGGTTAAACATTATATGCAAAAAATTATAAATTGATAACGAGGTTTGAGTGTTTGTAATTTTTGTCAGGCGTACGGCCTATTTGGAGCTACGTGCTTATGGTTTATTCGACCGAACCTTTTCCTCTCAGTACAGATAGAGCACTTTTCTCCGATATGTTTTGCAGACATATTCGCTCCGCTGAATCGTCAACACGCAAGAGGATCATCAAGCGGACGGACCTATTTATAGGAAAACTAAAAACATCCTAGGGGCTTTGGAGTTTAGTAGACCCTTAAGTGGTTTTCTACTTCCAACTCCGTCATTTAGACCTCTCCCCCCTCCTTGCCACACAGTTTCGTAATAGCCTCTATTCGACGTACATTTTAATAGTCCTAAATTATTGCAAACAGTCTATCTTTCAAAACTTTCAATGTAAATACATGAGTCTCGCTCGAGTATTTTTATCCAACTGTTCGGAGCTTATCAATTTTTAAGTCCAAAAAAGCCAGGAAAAACTCGTTTAAAGTTATATTTCTATACTGCTATTATCTCAAATACATATATATACATTAATAACTCAAATCTTTACCTCTTAGGGCGACCCATACCATGATGTCCAGAATGTTCAAGCCGTGGTTATGGAATGATAGCAGTTTTTACATGCTATCGATTGGCCGAAAATTAAGAAAAGATGTGGACATTGTCAACAAAATAAACCATAAGGTAATTGATATGACTTTCTGTTCCTTAGAAATTTCATCGAGAATGTTATTGTATTTTGTATCGATGATTTGTTTTGTTAGGAGAAAAAGGGTAGAAATGGCACATAAATAAAATTGAGAAACTAGGTATTGCTTCCCGCCACGAAAAATGGCGCCGATTCCCATGGAATCCCCCATAGATCCATTAGTAATACATACCCGCTGCAAAACGACGGGAAGAGTCGCGCAGTCTTAGCGACGTTGCACTGAAAAAAAAAAATCTAAGAAAAAGGTAAAATTACCAAGAATTCAGGGTTCTATTTGATCCCAGTTTTTTCTCGATAAAATTACCATTTATGGAATTGGTAATTTTACCGAGAAATCTCGGTAAAATGATTGAACTTTCTCGGTAATTTTACTGGACCTTGGTAAAAACGCTAATATTTTTTATCGACTGTGGTAGAATTACCGAGATGAAATGGCAAAGTTACCGAGAAGCGATTACCAATAAAAGTGGTATTCTTACCTGAAAAAAACAGTAAAAATACCGGTTTTTAGGTAAACTTGCTAGTCTGTCTTGATAAATTTACCAATAATTGGTAAAAAAGTGAGATGGTAAAGGTACCAACGGACCGTGGTAAAAATGCCGAGAATTTTTTTTCAGTGTGACATGTTTATACGCTGTTTGGTCGGAAAGTGCTTCATTTAGTTAGCTTCCACCATCAAGAATCATTTTTTTCGTATTCGCTCTACTGCAATTGCACGCAAACCTGAACAGATAATCACTGGTGAAGAAACGGAGAAAAATCACAACTCTTAATTCCTAACAAATAGTTTCTATCTTGATTGAAAACTCCTCAGCGTCAACTTTTTCCATTCTTTGAGAGGATGGTGTACGCTCATTAAAATAAATAAACGGAAAGCTCTATTACCCGCGTATTAAAGCTCCGCCATTACCGGTCTACGCTGTTTAAAAGTAATTACATAACATTGTTTTTTCATTTTTTTGTAATGGGTACTATTCCTCGAAATGGATTTTCCTTTCACCTCGAGATACCTCACTTAACTGCGTCGCCAGAACGCTAGGGTGATAGAATGCGACGAAGTGCTCATCAAATTAAATTTATTGTTTTTAATGAGTCGGTAATCATTTATTACTGATTTTTGAATGACATCTCGTTGAATTAATACACTACGTAAAGTTTGGACTCACAGTTATACTCTATTTTTTGGTTTTAACTATAATCGATAAGCCGAGTATTGCAAGAATTCCACGGCCATTAAATTAGTCTATTACATCGCTACAGTTTACAGGCAGAGAAAAAATAGCTCTAGCTATCAACCTAGTGCATGAAATATATTTGAAAGTAGTAATAATGTGCTTTTATTGACACCTCAAATTATCGCGAGCTTCATAATATTATGGATTATTTTATTCTATTTTCATCTGACAGTTCTGGTAATGTTTCTAGATTATTGAAAAGCGAAGAATCATTAGAGCACTGAAAGAGAAAGAAGAGCAAAGCAAATCGGAGAGTGAAGAGTCCCAACTTGATGAGTCCTTTGAGTCAACCGATTCCAGCAGTTCTACTGGCAAAGGTACCTACTTGACTATATTTATGAAAATACGTTCGTGGAAAGAAACTCATTGAAAGACGGACCGTAGCCAAGTCTTTCAAAGCTAGAGCCTTTTAAAATTGCTAAAATTTGATTTAAAAACGCTAAAATTTGATTTAAAACTTCTAAAATTTGATTTAAAATTGCTAAAATTTGACTTAAAATTGCTAAAATTTGAATGTTAAAATCGTAAAAAAGTGTTAAAATCGAAAAAAGTTGTTAAATTGTAAAACGTTGCTAAAAATTAAAAAAAAAATTGTTAAAATAGAAGAGCATAAACCATTACCTGGATATTATTATTTTTTTTTTTTTTTTGTAACTCAGAAGAGGGAACACTTATTATTATTATTATTATTTTTTGTCCGGTTTTCTTGATTGAGTTAGGCTATGTACATTTCGGAATTTTCCTCCTTCTTCCGGCCAAAATTTTGATGGTTGTCTTTTGGCGTGAAGAAGAAAGAAAATTCCGAAATGTACATAGTCTAACTCAGAAATCAAGAAAAACCGGACGAAAAAATAATATCCAGGTAATCATGATCCATCCGGTAAAATGATAAAACCATACAATCCAAAAACCTCAGCGTTTCATCTCGACGGCAGCATATTTTGGCATTTTGTACCAAAAAACAAAATTACGGATTTATTGTTTTTTGATGCTAACACTCGGATGCAAGTATTGCATTGGCCTTTTACATGACAAAGATTCCCGCTCAGCCTACGTGCAAGTTGCCAAAGCAAACAATGCCCACAGTTTGGGACAGTTGTGTGAACATATAAGGCAACTGATTTTTTTTTAATGCTTAATAATGGTTTCTTTTAATGGTGGGTAATAACGCACGTTGTTTTGGATTGAAATTTTCTCAAATTTATTTTAAATGAACGTATTTATACTAAAAAGAACTATGTCTTACGCAAAACCTATGCACATAGTTCCTTTTAGCATCAATATGTCCAAATGGAAGACGCACTCAAAGATGTTCCAAGTCAAGATGATTATAAGTCACATCTTGAAATTTCGATCTTGACCGTTTATTTATAAACGCCAAGAAGGATAAAATGATGGATTCTGCCATCATTCTATACAAGTGAGATTTTTTTAACACTCCTGATAATTATCAGGAGTGTGTGAGTGTGTGAGTGAAGGGCCACTTATAAGTGGCCCTTCACTCACTTTTTTCTTTGTCAAAAATCTTAGTACCTAAGCATGCATTTTCTCTTCATTCCAGGCAAGAAGAATCTGATTTTCCTAGACCAACTGATCGAAGCAGTTGAAGATGGATCATTTCCTTTCTCAGAGCAGGATATGAGAGACGAGGTTGCCACTTTTATGTTTGAGGTACATATGATTAACTTTACCGATCAGAAAAAAATATTTAAAAAAATCTAAATATAAAATGAAAATGCAAGTGAAATAGTGCATCATGTTTGCATCCTAACATAGCTGCTTTTCAATTGCTATTTTGTGGATGGTAAAATTAGTTTTGCCCCAATTTTATCCATTATAAATCATCGATTCAGTGTTATCGATCGTTGATTGTTTAACAATTTAAATATATGAATCTCGATTTTGCCAGCATGCGAGAGTCACCAAGTCACCAATGTGGCACATTGTGTCAACTATACAAACCAAGATTACGGTCAATATAAGAGCATCCTTTTTTCAAGATAACGTTAAATCCTAAGTACAATATTGACCTAATCAAGTGTTTTGAAGCTTGTTTCTGTAGGAGTCTGAATTACATTTTTTCAAGTGTGAGGTATCAAAAAATTAGACAAGACAGGCAAGTAAGAATCTAACTCTGGAAAATTATCTACATCTCAAATAAGTTGCTCTCCATTTAGTGGACAAAAAGACCGTAACTAAGCAAAGATTCCTGATTTTCGTGTTTTTCTTGAATAAAAAATATTTATGTGCATAATGTTATTTTTAATATCTTTTCTGAAGGGCCACGATACAACTACATCTGCACTGGCATTCACCGTCTGGCTTTTAGGACTTCATCCAGAGTGTCAGGTGAGGATGACATATCCCCTTGAATTTTTCAAATTTCAACTAACGTTTTAAGAGCTTTTACATTTTGGCAATAACCTCTTTTAAAATATATGGGTCATTTTGTGAAAATGAAAACTATTAAGACCTACCTCTTTAAAATTTTCTGGACGTTGAGGGACATTGATGGCAAAAGAAAGTCTTGGCACTGTATTGCAGTTATGCAAAAGGATTGTATAATAAATCGCCTTCAATTTCGCATGATGCAAGGAAACATACGTGTATTAGGGTATGACTATAATACGCTTTGAAGTTACACAACTGAGTTTAACTGTTTGCTGCAGGATGAGCTAAGTTACCAAATTTATACAGCACGTTTCTAATGTGCATCTTGTAACGTTTGCGCTCTATTGTGTCCCAGAAAAAGGCCTATCGACTTCATCTCAATTAAAAAGCGAACAACTTTTTCTTTCACTAATTCTTCAAAAAATATTCCGGATACATTAGGTGACAATGTCGCTTATTTGAAAAGGAAATGACCTGATGATGCTAATTTGATTGGCATTGATTATTATAGGAAAAATGCTATCAAGAGCTCTACAGCATTTTTCAAGACTCGGACCGAAGGCCAAACATGGATGACTTGTCAAGCATGAAGTATCTAGAGCAGTGTATCAAAGAGGGATTAAGACTGTTTCCTAGCGTTCCACAACTGTCAAGAGAAGTGCCATGTGATATTCCTATGGGTAATTTGATTTTCTTAAAGCGGTTTTGCATCGTAAGCTCCAGCCCTCTCACGATTACAAGTATTTTGATATTTTGAATCAAGGACAATGTGGATTTCGCACAACAAAAACTGAAAAAAGATGTTTCTTGCAGAAATTGGTCAACTAATATTTGCAACTAATGTCTACTTTTGACTGTAATTGATTATTTTGTGAGCCTCACATACTGGTTAGCACTTTTAATGCAGGCTTTTGTTACCATTTTGCTCCATCGACAAGATTTAAGTTCTAAGGCATTTTGTAGAAATAGAAACAAGCAAAGAAAATTAACCTAGAGTTGCAAATGAAGTATAAATATGAAAAATATAAGAATCTAGTGACTTGAAAAAAACTCCTTGATCGATGATTTCGAGTTAATTGTAAATAAGTTCCAAATCACTCTGTCTTTCGCATATTCTCTTTCTTTAAACTTACGTACAATGTATATATTTCTAAAACATATAGAAGCTCACAATACTAATAGGAAAAAATAGATGATTTCGGGTATTTGAGCTAATCGTAAATTTGAACAATACTTCAGAGTGCATCAATTACAAACGGATCATAAATACAGAATGATTCAGATGTCAGGAATTATTTCATTTCCTTTATTTTCCACATTTTTTGGCGAGAAAGGTTAAATTACTGATTCGCGTCGAAATCAAGCAGCAATGAAACTAAGTCATGCAATTTTATACTATTTCGACGAGGAGGCAATAATTTCTTTTTAAAGCTACTGAATTCATATTTTTATGGTTCCATATTTGTATTTTAAAGGCTCTCTACTAAACGTAATTATTGTATCATTAATTTTTTCCTGATGCGTGACTTTGTGTAATTCTACCCTTTCAGGTGACTACACATTGCCAGCCGGCACAAAATTTATCCTAAGTGTTTTCGGTCTTCACCGTGATCCAAAATACTTCCCTGACCCAGAGAAGTTCGACCCTGAACGCTTCACCCCGGAAAATAGCAAGGGAAGACACGCATATGCTTACGCTCCTTTCGCTGCTGGTGCTAGGAATTGTATAGGTACAATTTTATTGTGTTTAATTCAAATTCCTTTCAATTCATTATCATATAAGTTAAAATTCTCATTCAGAAGATCTCAGAAGAGAAATTGGACGTATTTCTATCAAACGGAACTATGTGCATTAAGATATGAGCCCTGATACCCATAAGAATACATGCATAACAAGGCTCACTTCAAAATGAACATAGTTCCGTTTGATAAAAATACGTCCAATTGAATGTCAATGGTGAAACTACCAGACCATGTATCTCGTTTGCGCTGCTTAAAAATGGCCCCTCCAATTTTACTTTTTTAAAAGAGGACAAATTAATATTATTTCGGGAAATTTTCACAGAGCTTTTTTTAGAGAGAAGAAAATTCACGGAAGTTTTCAAGAACTTACATGTATTAGTTTTCCGTTTAAAAAATGAAGTATAACAAGAACTCTACAACGTCGCAAAGCGAGAAACGTGGTCTGATAGTTTGACCGTCGATATCAACACACGATAATATTCATTATAAAGTTGAATCAGATTTATTTTTACAACAATTTGACGTACTTCTATCAAACGGAACTAAGCGCCATCAGGGGAGGAAGGGAGAGGAGGGGCTTGGATTGGCGGGTTTTGCGGAACGCGATGCTCGTTCCGACCTATACTCGCAATGCTTTTTCATGGCACTTAAATAGTTCCGTTTGACAGAACGCGCTATTCGGGCTTCTAAAATCCTCAAAAGGAACTCAATTTGGCGCTCAGTTCCGTTTAACATAAATAGTCCAATTGGACGTGTTTCTATCAAACGGAACTATGTGCATCAAGGCATGAGCCCTGCGTTCCATAAGAATAAATGTGTAACAGGGCTCACGTCATGATGCGCATAGTTCCGTTTGACAGAAATGCGTCCAATTAATGTTTCTTGTCTACTATTTTTTGATTACTAGAAAAAAATCTCCAGTCTCAGCTTATAGAGTTTATCACTGAAGAACTCATTTAAGAATCAGGTCAGTCATTTTCTCCACACTTCCGTTCCTACACTGAGAAGAAGAATCGGTTACTAAGACTGAATTTCTCTTCACATCAAATATATCAGTTGTTCGGATTAGTTTAGGTTATAGGAACAAATTTCAGTTGCATAACCCGAAATCCGGTTTCTGTAACTGAAAATGTCGGTTCCCTGTACCAAAAACTTTGTTTTGCACCGAACTTTCTTCGCCTTATAAACAAGCCACGTGAATGCATGAGTTACGTCCACCCTACACCATATTTTCACATCACCGTCTGGTTTCAGGTCAGAAATTCGCTATGATGGAGATGAAAATTGTAATTTCCTATCTCATCCGAAATTTCACCTTCAAATCATCCTACGACCAGTCGGAATTGTATGTGGTGTTCGCTCTCATTCTTCGATCTGCCAAGAACCTCGAAATGACATTCACGCCCAGGAGGAAACACCAAAATTCACTACGCTAACACGCTCTCCTGTGAAAAACCACCTGGGCAATAAACGCACAGCTTCAAGACGTCCTCATCAAAACGGACCACTAGACTTTGACAATGCATATTGCTCGATATTTGCATCGATGTTTCGACAAAGTTGCAGGAAACTGGTTTTTTTCTCCAGAAATATCTGGGTCACTTTTGTGCCAGGTTCGTTACGTACTGATTTGAGCATCCTACTTTCCATAGTCCAGCTTACTTCAGGGTCCTTCTTAAAGCGTACTGTGCGAGCTCTTTTACAAATGGGCAAGTTTAATACGTCGCCCCTCTGACGGAAGGACGCATCTCAATTCCCGCATGTGAACCCTATTTCGCATGTAAATTCATGATTTCTGGCAGTGGGGTGGCGTGCTTTGCCGTATATCGATATTTCCCCATTTGAAGCTGTCGTAAATAATCGATTATTAAGGTGTTCGCTGCGAACACCCTGTTTATCGATACTTTTCCATAGGTTTAAATGGCCGATCAATCGATAAATCGCAAAGCACGCCTAGTCACTGGAGCTCATGCGGAAATCGATGTACGTCACAGGAGCGACGAATAGTGAGGGACCAAGCGCCAAGGCCGCATTTTTTGAAAAACATGAGTTGCCAATAATTTCAAAATTCGGCAGTATCAAAATCCAAGAATGAATAATTGGTGCTATTTCACGTGCAAACTCTGAACTCATTTTCGGCACCGACGCGTCCATGGAATAAGAATAAAACATTGTACCTCATATCCTCTGGCCTAACTTAGTGTAATGTGTTTCCTCGTTACTCCAAATAATCTGAATTTGGCATGACGGGGTCATAATCCTATTTGAGCATCGCGGAAACGAAACATCTGCCAGTGATATTCCTGTATGATACGCGCTATCATGAACGCGTCCATGAACCTGCCTTTCTGCCAAATTCGGTCCAAAGGTCTGGTTTCATTTCAGTCAAATGATTCTGTTTCCCATGCCCAGACTAAGAGAATGTAAAAACTATTTAAGCAAGACACTTTTTTACGAGATATTTCGTATCATGTGAGAGTACTTATCAATGTATATGCAGCAGTGGTTGGAGAATTTCTTGCATTTGCCCTATTCCGACGTGATTAACAATCATTATAGGATAAAAAGCTACTTTTGAGAGAAATATCACACTGAGTGCAGTAAAGTAAAATATTCTCATTTGCTTGTACAAAATTATTGTAAATAAATATTTTTGTTTTTTTTTACATAAAATCTTGGTTCTCAATTTTTTCCTATAATCCTCCCTTTCATGATTGATTATAACTTACGTGATTATTTCCTTATCCGCCATTATGCTTCACCTTATTACTTGAGGAAAAATGGTTTCTTTGCTGAAATGAATTAGTTTTTTTTTATTTCTAGCATGCTCCGTTTGCCCAAATGTGATAACTCAGATTTTGCCTATATTTAATATAAATTTCTCCGACAAACATATGATAAGGAGCAAGAATACTGCAACAGAATACAATTTTGAAATGAAAAATTAAAGAAAAGTAAGTTCCTCAATGATATGCATTTGAATTTTGAATATTAATCGACTCGAAAACATTTTATTCAATGAACTATACATAATATTTCATCAAACGTAAAAAATAATCGTGCGCCAAATAATCGGGGTTTGCAAGCTGATATTAAGTTATACTCTTAAATAGTAAATTCTTCACCCAAAATAATATTGTATTCATTATTATTTTGGGTGAAGAATTTACTGAAGAACCCGAATTTCAAAATAAGAAAAATATGCACTGATACGTATCACCACTGAACAAGTCCGCCTACAATAATGCCGATCGTATTACGCACTCCGTTCAAAACGCCTTCAGTTTTGCTTGATACTATTAGCACACCTTATGAGCCACAATAGTTACTGCAAGCCCCTGTGAACTTAATAGGGCTTTGCAGAGGCAAATATGCGCCTCACGCGATAGGGAAGAACATCACCTTGACTGCTTCCACTCGGATATTGGTCTTTCTCTAGTTTTCATCGATAATGATTGCGGTCCAACTGTTGACATTCATTACGCAAAGTTTGTTTTGTAGATCGTTGAGTTTTATTTGTAAATAGAGCCAAGAGACATTTAACGAGGCGCTCTCAGTCATTCCCTCGCTGTACATTGTTTTACGCGATATGACATTGGAGGATGTGTACTTATTCATAATTAATGGTATTTTGAGTCAGTGTGGAAAACTTTAGAGTGCCAAATGGCTCAGTTTGCTGCCCGTGAAAGCGGAGAGAGTGTATTTTTATCCGACTGGTTACTTTTTTTAAATGTTTAAACTGAGTTATTCAACGTTCATAGAAGAATTTAGCATCGTCTGAAAATTCTTACGGTATTTTTTCCCAGCGAAACAGTGTTATTACGTCATTTTAAAATGGATCTCTCGGTTTTTAGTGTTATCAAATCATGACTCGAGCTTATCAAACGTTTCGGTACCGGTTTCAAAGCGGGATAACGAATACTTTCTGTCGGCAAGTTTTAAAAGTGCTCAGTTTAGTAAAGATGTGATAATTTCACGTTCCAACACATTTTTCTGGAAAGCTTCTTTCACTACTCGGCGGACACCTGCGGTTGAAAGTTATTGAATTGATTCATTACTCTAGTGTGCTCGCATACTACTTGGGAAAATGGTGAGTTCATTCAATTTTTCATTACGTATTAAATCAACTTTCCGAAAAGTACTTTGCCATCGTAAAATTGGACGAATTGGACAAAAGATGTCTCTTTGCCCTAGGAATCTTAAAATTATGCTTATAATAAAGACTGATGTTAAAGACTGATGTGATAAGTTGGATGGAAGATAATGAAGTACAAAATTGAAAAAGACTGTGGAGATGCTTTGCGACAATCAAACCGCAAAATCGGATGGTCACCCGTTTCCCTTGAAATTGCCAAAAATTGGTATTTCCAATGAAATACTTCGATTTTTCCCTTTTCCCGTCGCTGTTTCGAGCACTTCCGATTGCAATTTCGAAAATTCCTTTTGCGTGCTGATTCTTCTATCCATAAGTGTTACTAAACCGTAAAAAAGTGAAAATCTAAAAAAATCCGAGTTGGTGTGTTTTCGAACTCACTAATTCATTTTTAATGGTTTTAATGAAGGAAAACAGTGCTGCCAATTTGAAAAATCGCCGCTCCAATGCAGCATTGTATTATGATGGCCCTCAATGTGTTGTATTACTGTATTCCTATTAATTCAATCTGATTTAGTTAAAACGCCACAAAAAACTACATAAACTTACCGCTTCGTAAGACCTGGGTTCTTACTCTATAAAAAAGGAATCCAATTTTTGATATTTTCTTGAAAGAAAAATCTACAGTTCCAGGTCGGAACTTTGGTGTTGCGAACAGCCTGCTTGTGCTTGGCTGCTAGCGCTGTCACAGCCGAAAATGAGCGTCCTATCATCGGAGTTATCGCCCAAGAGACGACAGAAGCCATGGAATCCACCTTCCCTGCCTACGGCTCCTTCATCGTTGCATCCTACGTCAAAGCCATCGAAAGTTCCGGGGCTAGAGTCGTGCCAATTCTGATTGGGCAAACCGACGAATATTATGAGTAAGTTAGTGTAAGTAAGTTAGCGTTGTCGAATATCCTCCTAAAATCGAAATATTACTATGGCGGATATTCGGAAACGAATACTTATCCGACAATCCAAGAACATGACACGCTAATTTTACCAAACAAATTTTAAAGTTAAATATTATTTATAGAGACTTTTTTGATCCATCAAAATCTCACAGTAATCAGCAATAAATTACCGAATTATTAGTTACACGCCGATACTTTATTTTTAACTAATTAAGATATTCACTCTTGATAGAATAACTTTTAACACTGTAATTATTCGATTATGTTCGCAGGGAGATGTTCCAAGCCATAAACGGCTTAGTTATTCCTGGAGGGGCAGCAGAATTCAACGGGACAAATAACTACTACTCTACTAGTAGGAAAATGTACCAACTAGCTCTGAGGGTATTAATTTGCCAATTTTTGTTTTTACTAATGTAAGTTGCGAGCTCAAATGAAGGACGCTCTAGAGTGTCAGGAAGGGACGCTATTTCCTAGATTGGTGCGAGAAATGATTGCATTTTTGAAGCATGGTGAATCTGTTTGTAATTCCCGCGCGGACGTGAACGAACTCACAATCAGTGCTCTCTACCACCAGTTCTCCCGAAATCAGGAGTAGCGCGGCCTATTAGAAATGTTGTGTGCTATTCACCCCGGGTACACGCCTGGTTGATGTCGCTATCACTCGGCTGAAACTTTAAGCGCTGGATTGGTTTCACCGATGCTTGTTTGGAGTTCACGGAAAAAATTAAATTGCTGATATAAAAATTCAATTGCTAAAAAATTGACTGCAATATTTGAACGTAGATATCGCAACAAAACATGCTATTTTAACCACTATTGTAAGCTAATTTAACCACGGAGGTGGTTAAAGTAGCATTTTTTTGTTGTAAAATCTACATTGAAACATTGCAGTCACTTTTTTTTTAGCAATTGAATTTTTAAATTGGTAATTTTATTTTTTCAGTGTTTGTTGACCAATTTTCTGTTTACTATTTTATCCAACGGAGGAAGGCTGAGTTTTCAGCCGAAACGTTTTGGTTTTATTCTTAAAATTTTAGCCTTGTTACCCGCTTTTTAAATGGTTTTTTATCGGATCAGGCCATCGATCTCGGTAAATTAAAAATTTTTTTAATTTTTAAATTTTTTTTCAAAGCTTGAAATTCGTTCAAAATTGGCGAAACGACAAAAATACACCACAGGGACTATTTATGAAGTAACACTATAGAGAGGAGGTAGGTTGGAAAGAGCGTTGCTTCATTTTGTTTTAACGTGTTAAAGGACAGGGACTTATGCTGCCTTGCTAAGGAAATACGTCGTATGATCATTCGAGAGTTGCCAAATTTCCTCCGATAAAATGCTCATTTCGTAAGAAAATTATGCATATTTTTCCTTGAAAATTTTAGATGTATTAGATTGAGGTGCGAACTATATTTTCGGAAAAATTGGAAGAAAAATATTCTTAACTTCCATAGTAAATACGTACCTTATCAAAGGAAATTTGGCGACGCCTGTAGGTTCATACGGCGTTTTTCCTTAGCATGGCAGTATGTCACAAAAGTGTCGGGAGAGAGAGGGGGGTCGAAATACCCGACATTTAGCATTGCGTATTCTATGAATGGCCCCATAAGAGAATCAACATTTTTATTCACCAGCTTAGGTATATGCGATTTGTGTTGATGTTGTAGATGATGATGATGATGATGTTGTTGTTGTTATAGTTGCTGTTGTTGTTGTTGTTGCTGCTTATGTTATGTAAACTGTGTCCCTTACTTTCTCAGGCAAATATGGATGGTGACTACTTCCCAATCCTTGGCGTCTGTCTTGGTTACGAAGTGATCTTGACATTTGCAAATAATGAAAGAAGAATCCGAAAAGAATGTCAAGTAAAAAATGTCAATTTGCCTCTTGAGTTCGTGCCCGGCTTTCAAAACAGTTCTCTCTATCGGGATGCATCAGATGAGGTTATCAAAACGCTGCACACCAAAAATGTCACGGTCAACTGGCATAAGTAATATTCTTGAATATTTTTAAAGTCAAAGTTCGTTAAGTCGAACGACGCTCATAGTAAAAATCCGCTAAGTTGAAATTTTCTTCGGTCCCGGGACGCTCTCATAAGTAACAATGCTAAAAAAACAGTACTTTAGTCGGATTATTGATTTTTCGTGCCAGGTGTAAAGCCGCTTGTATCGGAATTTTTTTCGAAAAATCCGGAAAATTTTCGGGTTTTTACAAGATAAAACCCGAGTTTGTTTTAAAGAGCTTTAATGTCTATGTTACGGGAAAATTAAGAAACCTGGGTCATCGCGAAGTGTCTAAATTAGACCATGACATATCCTATTGATGCTAAAACTGACTAACACAGGCATTAGATTAATTGAATGACTTACACTTTTCCAGTGGCGATTCTTAAAAGTTACACTTATATTATTCCAAATATATAAAACACTAATAGGTATTATTCCATTAAATGAAACGTAAAACAATCAATTCTTTAAAGGCAGCTACTCTCTACTAAAATCGACAATTTCAATGAATTTAAATGGAGAAAAAACAATGTTGCACACGTGCAAAATCGACACTGCACTTCTCCATCAGGCTCCTTGATTTTCGGATACTAAAAGTGAGGACTATTCTGTTATGATAGGTGGTGCGTATACCCGGCCGATTTAATGCAAGCAGGACTTTATGATTGGCGGATTTTGAGCGTCAGCACCTTCGCAACCAATTTGTCCTCGAATCCTTTCATCTCATCTATTGAGCACACGCAGCTTCCTTTCGCTGGTATCCAGTTCCACCCGGAAAAAGTCAGCTTCGAATGGAGTATTAAGAAAAACTACCCACATTCTTCAGAGGCCATTCAGGTATTGGACAATCAAAATAATGAGAATTATATGCCAAATAGATAGACAATATGCAATGCAATGAAAAGTAATAACTCCCATTAATCAGGTGGCAATAAATTTCAATAAGGAGTGTTCTTTCAACCGAGAGATAGGCAACATACTCAACACTCCAATGCCGCTGTAATACTCTCACCAAAAAAATTGCAATTCAGGTTAGATTGTGCCTAAGAATGAACTTAACGCTATGGGTCCACTTATCTTAGAACAGTCGTATATGAATTGAAACTAATTTAAAATGGTTTCAGGACATTCTGTCGACGATTTTTTGTCCGCACACTTGTTTTGTCCAGTAGTTTACGTCCACGCGTAAAATAAGCAACAGTGACTCGGTTCAAGTGTTATATTTTTGTCCATGTAATATTATAATGACACTATCGAAATGAGAAAATTGAGACTCTCAATCTGACTCTCTCTCTCTCTCTCAATTTGAGAGAGAAATAGGTGTTATTATGATATAACTAATTTCTTAGATGAAAAGTTACTTTCTTCTTTTGATCCGTCTTTTCAAATTGTCATCGGTGAGTATTTGGTTTTATTTCTATCCTTAAAATTGTCGATATAAAATATACCTTGTAAATCGTTTTTTTTTTATTTTTTTAATGAAAATATTACTTCATTTTAAAAGCATTTACATTTTTAAAATGTGGCAAATATATGTATTTGTAAAATCTTTTCCAAGCGATGGCATCGATATCAATCTTAATGAGTCGTAGATGGGTTGAAAGAAACTATACACAAAAATGAAAGGAAGAGAGGAAAAAATCAAGAAGCATGCAATCATTAGTTTTAAACCATTTGTACATCGATCTTTTAGAGTCAAATACGTCCAATTTTGAGAGTTTGGTTGCACGTATACCACGCTGCAGCCCAGTAAAAGCGCAAAAGATGAAAAAAAAAATCCAAGTGCTTTGAAAATCATTAAATTTGACACGGAACCAACTTAATATCTACAAAACACACGTCATATTTTCCTTTTATACTTATTGTTTCCATCAATTTAAATGAGAATAATATAATCCATGCAGAGTTTGTGAACATTTCAAAATCATGAGTTGAAAATCGCTGATTCCGCGAATTTAAATATTAGAGCCTAACACAGAGCGGAACAGCGCGGCGTGCTGCCAGCGCGAAACGCGCACTAGCGCCTACAAACCTAAAAGGATACTTCACGCATTGCGCAATGCTTCAAGTATCACCTTAGGTTTGTAGGCGCCAATGCGCGCTAGCCGGTCGCCCGCCGCAGCATGCCACGGCGCCTCAAGCAACGATTTCACAACAGAGGTGTTGCACGGTGTTATACGCTATTGAAGGCGCTACAACATATTAAGAATGACAGGTATCCTTTAAGAATACGGAGCTGCTCTCGCAAAATAAATCAAGATACTATAGCCCCAAAGGAGAGCGGTATTCCAAAAACTTACTAAGTCCTAGCATCCGTATTTAATAACGTTTAGCATAATTTGCCGAAAAACGCGTGGACGTAAACTACTAGAAAAAACAGGTGCGCGGACAAAAAATCGTTGACGAAATGTCCTATAATCTCTAAAATTCAATGAGTCTGTTGCAAGCAAGAGATACAGCCAACTGACTACACCTTTTAGGGTAAAATCTCTCAAAAAACTTCGGGCATCAAAAAAATCTGAAATCCACGCTTCAGGGTGCAATCTGCGTAATTTGTAACACGCTTTTTCAAAGTTACCGCGTATGCGGGCAGTTTTTCTTGGTGGCTGGCAGTCAGGTTTGCCTAGAGACCTAACCTAAACAAACAAATAATCTAGCTAATACTGTTGTATACTATCCTTTCGTACAATTTTAATTTATTCAAAGCTTTCGTTTTTGCAAAATAAAGAAAGGAAAATTATACAAATACTTGAAAATAATTGAAATCATACACTGAAAAAAATGATGGGTAGAATTTATCATCTCTTCACGCTGTATTTCACACAGCGTCAATTCAAAGTCAATTCTGCCAGAAAAAAAGCAAACCTTACTATTTACTGGTACAGGTAACCATTCCTCTCGCAGAATCGCTTTGAATTCACGCTGTGTAAAATATAGCGTGAAGGAATGGTAAATTCTACCAATCTTTTTTTTTCAGTGTACATTAGAAAAAGTTAGTTCATCGTTTATTTACTCTGGGTAATTTTTTCTTACTTCTCTGCCTGTGCAAACCTGATTGGTGGGGACTGAGATAAACTGCCCGCAGACTCGGGAAACTTGAATAAGCGTGTTTTATTTCGCGCTAAGGAACGAATCTCGGACTTTTTTGTTGTTCCCCGCGCGATTTTTGAGCGAATTTGCTCTTAGAAAATGTATTCAGTTGGCTGTATCTTTTGCGTGCAACAGACCCATTCATCGCTTATTTTTTCTTACATAGGGTGTTCAAAAAGTAATGCACATTTTCGTTTTTTGAGCGAACGGAAACAGTTATCAATTTGCGGTTTGCATGTGCTTAAATTAGACATAATTAACAATAAAAAAAGACCAAGATTAGCTCTCCAGCTTAAAAGTTGACTGAGTGACAGGGTTTTGAAAATGGTATATCGAGGGACACCCTCCAGGATTTTTAGCTACAAATGTGTTTGTCAAGAGGAAAAAAGTTAAATGAGAATTGAGTGGTTTTTTTTTTAAAAAAAACTTACGAAATCTCACTAAAATTGACGAACTTGAAGCTCCTTCATCGGAAACTCAAAAAACTCATCTACTTCATTTTTCGGAGGCCCCGGTTTCTCTTTTTAAAAAAATACAAACTTCCGGGTAATAATATTCATTTTTTTGTGTTTGAATTATAGGCAAGTAGGCACTTCTATGACTGGATAGTGAAGGAAGCCAGGAAAAGCGATCATTATTTCTCCAACTCATCACTCGAATACGACTCGCTCATCTACAACTACAACCCAACTTACACGGATAAGTCCAGACCTCCTTACACGCAGATGTATCTTTTCGAGAAACCAGAGGACCCTTCTCGAGCACCAACGTGGAGACGATGAAAAAAAAAATTAAAAAATCCACGTTAAATTAGATCAGCAGAGTATTCCACTCCTCGATCGGTATATTTCGAGTAGCATCCATGTTTTAAACTAAAAGTGATCTCGAGGAAATTTTACAAAGCTCGATTCATTGGCATTGAAAAAGAGCTCTTAAGTGAAAAATCGAAGGTGTCAATTCTACCGTGCGAGGGAAGAACGCCTTACGAACATCCGATAGTTGCCAAATTTACTTCGATAAAATGTTTATTTTTTAGGAAAGTTATGAATATTTTTCCTTTAAATTTTCAGAATCTTAAGGTGAAATAGCGAACAAAATTATCTGAAAATTTGGAGGAAAAATATTCAAAAGTTTACCAAGAAATTTGCGTTTTATCAAAGGAAGTTTGGCAATTCTTGAAGGCTCATACGGCGTTTTTTCTTAGCACGGCAGAATTAGCGAGAAGCTCCAAAATCAGTGAGAAGAAGCCGTGCAATCTGAAAAGCTGGACTCCATGATGGGTTGCATTTGGAAAATCCAAAAAAAGCCTGAAGATCGAAAATGTTGTTGACTTCTAGAAAGAAAGCACCACACCGAAAATTATATTATACAAGAAACGAAAGAAGTAATTTATGGTAACGCGCTTCAGACGTGAATCAAGAGAAAAGGCCCACAAAATGAGCAGGGTTATGAACCCTGATTTATTACGTCACTTTGAGATGACGTGCTCCAATAATCTGAGAAACCATCGAGAGGAAATGCTCATCCTGCATTGATATGAAATAAGAATTTGAGAAAAAATTTGAAAATGATAAAAAAGCTGAGACTTGAAAGAGTGAGACATGAATGAGCAGGACTGTAATATATGTAAATAGGAAAGGTATGTGAGTAATAAAGCTTGACTTTTTCTTTAGGTTTTTGATGGAATGATTGTTTTACTATCTACTTGCAACAGTTACATAAACCCAATACTTCAATTACATACGCAGATACTCTCATTATCTGCATTTAGAGAGCCTACACTTTTTTCATATTGATTGAGGATTATACCAATAAATTTTGGTTGACTTGTTAGTGAACTAATGATTGTCAATTAATACCGTTGAATAAAAGCACTAAAACTAGGAATACACCTTACTGATTTGAATAAGCTATTGATCACGCAGAGACGTTCCAGCAATGCTTGGTTGCGGTACCTCTTGTGACGTCCATAAATCCTTCAATGAATTTTGACGATTAATTATCTCCGTCGAAATTTTCTGCACTATTGATTGAAGCTAAATTTTGAGCCCACTTGAAATCCAGACTAATCAAGGGTACTTGTGACAGCCCGTCATCTCGAGAATGTCGTACATACAAATAATAGTTTCTTAATCTTTCTTCTTAATCATTCTTAATCTTTAATAATTTAAGTTCCTCCTTCGGTAAACTCTGGCTCGATTTTTAGTTTTGTCTTATCTTTTGATATCATATCAGATCAGACTCTCAATGGCTCTTTTGGTTCTGTAATTACGCCAGCATTACATCCTGGCCAACATGTATGTTGGTCTTTTCTCGTACAAATTGGAATGAACTACTCGCAGGTCATTCTCGATGTGTAGGGTGTCAATAAATGTAATTTTACTTTTAAAAAAAGGAAATGAGATGGGACGGCTAAACCACATCATTTTACGTCCAAATACTTGGTATTGAACAAATACGTGTGCGTGAAATTAGAGTGCGTGGTCGGATAAAAAAGCTCGCTGTGAAAGGCCTCGAAGTTGTAAATGAGGGACTCTTGCTCCAGGTGAAGCTCCGAGAAGTAGTTGTTATTTTTCTTGGCTTCTCCGACGAGCCAGTCGTAAAAGTAGCGGGAGGCTGCGATTGCTTTTGGCGAACGCGGGAAGTTCAAAACCCTGCCCCACTCGTAAATGTTCTTCTCTGGATGGAATAAAACAGCACCAATGGGGTGCTTCCTATGCTCGTACGCCGAAATAAAAGGCACTCCTTGGAGATCGTCCGTTGTCGCAAGAATTTTCCAATCTTTATCTAAAGCTGCTCTGAAATCGTCCGGGTATATGCACCAACTGTAAAAAATAAAAAAAACTTTTTTTTTTTTTAATGTGCTAAAATATTCTGTAACTGGAGGATCGCATTTCACGTCTTGTTAATGAAATAAAATAAAGGAATAAAATGTTTAGCACGCATTTTAAAAGATGAGAATGCACAGTTAATTTTTCATCTTTTAAAATGCTTGTTCTGGTAAACCTTTTTTCCCTTTATTTTCAAAAATGTTCTCCTCGGGAAGAATATCCTAATATGCCTGTTGCAAACTTCCGTTACGGCAAAAAGAAGAGTTGTTTGTATTGAAAATAGTTCAAAAATCACGATGAGCGGATCGGGAAAGTCACAATTACGATGCGATGCGATATTTCACGCATTGCGCAATGCTTGAAGTATCCCTTTAGGTTTGTAGGCGCTGGCCAGCCGCCCACCGAATCGCAGCGCAGCGTGCCACGGCGGCGCCTCAAGCAACTATTCCACAACAGAGGTGTTGCACAGTATCATACGAAATTGAAGGCGCTCCATCATATTAAGAATGTCAGGCACCCTTTGAGTACAGAGCTTCCCTCTCAAAATAAATGAAGATACTAGGGCATAATAAGAGTGATAGTCCAAAACTTCACAAAGTCCTAGCATCCGTATTTAATAAAGTTTAGCATAATTTTTGAATTTCATTAGAGAGAAAAGTGACTCGATTTAGGCAGGAACGTTCTTGAGTATGCCGTCAAGAACATTTTATTTTGAATCAAGAATAAAATCGCTGAATGAACGCGGGTTTTTGCTCGATGTTCTTCCGCTACAGCAAAAAGAAGAGTTGTTTGTCTTGAAAATAGTTCAAAAATCACGATGAGCGGATCCGCAAAGTCACAGTTACACTACTAACTTCACAATCTGCGTGATAAAAATGCGTTTTTCAAAGGTTCCCGATCCGGAAACGATCCTACGGCACAGCTGAACATTTCGTGAGAGGAGCCATCCCATCCAAGCCTTACACACTAGGATGCTGCGCAATATTCAAAATGGCCAACGCCAACCCGCAAAAACACTCGTGACGATACGAAATTTTAGCACGGTGATACATGTATGTAAAGGGTTTGATTCTAAATAGCCGTTTTAACCAAGGAATTTAGAGGTAACTTATTGAATTCAGTAAAAAAACACGTACTTGTGGTTGTGTACGGTGATGTTGCTTCCTTCCAACGCACGCGATATTTGTTTCGGGATGGATTTGAGGAGAGATCCTTTCCGAAAACCCGGTAAAAATTTCAAATTCATGTTCGTGTGGATGATATCACACCTTTTTAAGAGGCTTTGGTCGTTATTGGCCAGATGTGCAATCAATTGGTACCCAAGACAAACGGCCAAAATCGGGAAATGTATCTTTTTCTCGTTCATCTGAAAAAAAAAACAATGACATAGGTGACAAAAATCCGCAAAGGTCAGCTCAAAATTACTAGAAGTTGATTTATCCGACTATAACCATTATAAAGGTGCTTAAAGATGTTTTAAACCGCATAACAGTACACAGGAAAAAAAATTAATTTTGCCGCTATTTTTTATATTTTTTCTTGAATTAAGTATGCTGCTGCTTAATTTATGGGGCATATCGACGGTGAAACTACCAAACCACGTATCTCGGTTTGCGACGTCGCAGACTTCCTGTCATACTTTATTTTTTAAATGAAAAACTACTTAACATCCAGTCTTGAAAATTTCTGTGATTTTTCCTCTTTATGCGGAGAAAATTCCGTGAAAACTTCAAGGAATGATATTGATTTGGTCTACTTCAAAAAAATAAAATGTGAGCGTAGATTTTTAAACACCGCAAACGAGATACGTGGTTTGGTAGTTTCACCGTCGATATCTACTTAACCCAAGTATTTTTTTTTTGTTTTGTTTCTGGAATAATTCAGCTTGAATCAGAGTATAAAAACTCTAGGCGGCAGATTAGAAAATTAGGTACTATGCTTGAGCTAAACAACTTTTTTTTTAGTTTATCACACAGTTCAACGTCGGTAACCTTTAATCGTATCCATTGGGACCCAATTCGATTTTTCGCACGAAAAAATCTGTAATACTGAATAAATTTAGTGTACAATTGCAGCCATGACAGTTGTATAGTTGAGTACACCAATAATCGAAAAATCGACTGAACTTTAAAATTTTGAATTAATGAGATCACGGGTGTGCTCATATTTAGATCAGAATGTTTCTAAATTGAAGGATTCGTAGTTATAAATGTGAATTTAATAAAACAATGGATACCTCAAGTGCTATGTTGTACATGGTCTTTGTGGCCGCATAGAAGTTATCAGTTCCACTAAATTGGGCTCCCCCACCGGGAATTAAAATTCCATTCACGGATTGAGCTATTTTTCTGCAAATGAAAATTAAATCTCTTTCAATAAAGCCATAGGAATCAAATTACATGATGAGAAAAATCCCTATTTCATGTGCGGGTGTCAGACATAAATTGTCTAATAGGTATAACATAATTATAGTTCTGGTAAAAAAAAAGCGTACATGGCCGATCTTGGCGCTGAGCAAATATAATCATTTTTATATATTTTTTTAAAGAAACCAGACGACAATTTTTTTTTAAAAAATTTTCTCGAATTTTTCTTCACTCAACTGAAGATATCTACTGAGGATAATCGTCTCTCCATACGACATATTTTCATAAAAGATCTCAAAAAAGCATGACGAAGATGCGCATTGTGCAACTGTGCATTCATCGACTCAAGCTTTCAAAATCAGCTATTTGCTACATGACTTCATTAAGTTCATGCAACATTTCTTGATTTTTCTCGATTTTGATCAAGCTTCATTGTTCGTCATAAGCGTCAAATCTTAGGTGGTCAATGGCGAAGAATCCTTCGCGTGTATCTCCAAGCCTCCCCTTGAACAAAGCCTTCCAGAACCAAGAAACGGGTGTTTATCAGCGTTTGTAAAAGTTCAAGAAACTCGCAAATTTTGCTGCTAGCGCCAACTAGCAGACTCGCAGATTGCTTTTCCAACTAAAAAATCGGACTCAGCGGCGAATTTCCAAGGGAAGTAGCTTTGTTTCAGCCTGAAGAACGTTGGAGAACGTTCGATTTTGACCCCAAAATTTACTCCATGGTAACGGGTACTCCTGTGGATTTTCCTTGATTTTGGTTGAGAAAACAATTTTGAGATAGGTGTTGAATCCTACGTAGTTCGAGACGTAGAATCGGTTGCGCATAGTTCTGTTGCTCGGCGAAGTTTCCTGAGCGAGAAATATACGAAAACAAGCGTTTTTGATCGTTTTGCAAAAGTTTGCCCACCGCGCCTTTTTCGCCGGTCGCGCGAGCCAGCGGGCTTTCCCGACCAGAAAATCGGACTCAAGAGGTCATTTCCATGGGGACTGAGTTGGTTTCAGCCCGATGAGAGAACATTCCTTTTGACGCCGAAATTTTTTTCCAGAATACTCCTCGTGGATTTTCCTCGATTTTAGAGCCTAACGCAGAGCGCAGCCGCGCGGCGTGCTGCCAGCGCGGAACGAGCACTGGCGCCTACAAACCTAACGCGATACTTCACGCATTGCGCAATGCTTGAAGTATCCCGTTAGGTTTGTAGGCGCTGGCCAGCCGCCCACCGAATCGCAGCGCAGCGTGCCACGGCGCCTCAAGCAACTATTTCACCACGGAGGTGTTGCACAGTATCATTCGAAATTGAAGGCGCTCCGTCATATTAAGAATGACAGGCACCCTTTAAGAGTACAGAGCTTCCCTCTCAAAATAAATGAAGGTACTAGGGCATAATAAGAGAGTGATAGTCCAAAACCTCACAAAGTCCTAGCATCCGTATTTAATAAAGTTTAGCATAATTTTTGAATTTCATTAGAGAAAAAAGTGACTCGATGTAGGCAGGAACGTTCTTGAGTATGCCGTCAAGAACATTTTATTTTGAATCAAGAATAAAATCGCTGAATGAACGCGGGTTTTTGCTTGATTTTCGTGGCTTTTCTTTATGTAAAAACATATTTTTTCTTTAAACAAGCATTATTCTTTTTATCGATTCAAAAGTAAATCTTCTCGGCAGTGAATTAGAGCATATTTCTGCTGGAATCAAGCCACTTTTTCCTCTGATGATGTCCTAAAATCATCCTGAACGTTATTGAATACGAGTACAGACACAAGGACTTAGTAAGTTTTTCGACTACCACTCTCTTTATGCCGTCGTCTCTCAATTTAAATTGCGTGGGAACTTCGTGCTTTTGAAAGATGCCATCAATCATGATACGTTGGGATGCCTTCAATCTCGAATGCAACACATAGTAGTAAGTAGTAGCTCGAAGCGCCGCGGCACGGCGACACCGTCGCGAGGATATTGCACACGGCAAATCAAATGTTTATCCGGTTCCAGTATAACAAGATTGGATTTTCTTGAAATGATTAAGCCCTGTTGCACCAAAGAGGTGTAGGGAGTTTTAGCGAATTTTCCCTCGTGGAATTGACGCTCCCCCATTTCCACCAAAAATCTCAATTATAAATTTTTCTTTGTTGGACCAAAAAAAAAAAAAAAAACAAGCAAACCCTTATTCTTCCGAGACATTTTACATTTCCTTCCAAAAACGTCGTGAGCAACTGACGTTTGTATTTACATGTGGGCCCATTAACTTTGGGTCTGAATCGGTAGGAGGACCAGAGCTCCCCTGCAGAAAAAACGCGAGAACGTAAATTACTAGAGAAATCAGTTGCTCGGACAAAAAAGTCGTTGACAAAATGTCCTATAACCCAAATTAGCAGTATGAAGCACTCTTCGAAGGACACTTTGACGCACGGCTAGAGTTTGACCCTAAAATTCTAGGCCATGTGACCCCTGTCGATTTTTTTCGAGTTTGGACCGGGAATGTTCGAGGCGTAGAATCGATTGGGCTTGGTTCTCAGGCTCGGTGAGCCTTCCCGATTCGAGATTTTTGACTATTGTTTGATTCGCGATTATTTGTCAGTCACGCGAACCAGAGGAGAAGTTTCAGTTTCGACCCCACAAGATTAGTCTTCGAAACGGTTTCTGTCGATTTAGTATAAAAATTTGTAGATATCAACCAAATCCTCTTGATTTAAACTACCCCAAAAATGACGAAACACGGAAATTGGACTGCATTTTGAAATTTGGAACTATAAATTATGGCTCTTCTGGAAAAACACTTATGTGCATAGGGAAACTAATGGCACATACGTTGTTTTTAAACCGGGCTAGAATTTATAGTTCCAAATTGCAAAATGTAGTCCAATTGTCAATTGAGCACCACGTGAAAGGTGTTGGACCTAGAAATGGATCTGGTTACCTGTAGTAGCTTTCACTCTGACCGGTAAAAACGGGGACAACTCTGGCGCCAGCTCCTTCGACCGCTTTGACGTAGGAGGCAGCTATGTATACGTCATAGCCTGGATACGACGCTTCCAGACTTTTTTCCAGTTCCATCGTCATAATTCCGATGATTGGTCGATCGGTGAGACCAGTCACCATCCGAAACGTGACAGCCAAAAGAACGGAGCACCGCAGCATCTACAGTAACAGCAAGTCAATATAGCTCTCGGTACACGATCATATTCCGAACCAATGGACCACTAGACAAGGTACGAACTGAAGGATTCTGATACAGGTTTCTTAACCAGAATTTCACGTAAAACACGATTCGCGCAACGAAAATTACTGAAACCAACTCCTAAGGAAGATATTAACGTTTTTATTTCACATTGGTCACGAAGAATTTGAACTGCCCGCTGACAAGAAACTCAAAGCTCTACGTGAGTCAAATCGCGCACTACAACGGTTTCAGCAATCTTCTCAATCGAGCAATGTTCTTTTCCACCATGTGTTGTTCAAACTATAAGCAATTTGCTATAGCTGAGCCAAAACGTCAAGATTGAGGTTGCCAGATTTTTATATCGCAGAGACTGTCATGATAAACGTTTAGCGCACGATGTGAATCATGTAGACCATTGAGTTTTTATGAGCGGGTAGTTTGAATTCACGCATCAGGCATCATTAAATATATTCGTAGGGAGTTGATTTCGGTAATTTCTGTTGCGCGCACTGCGCATCGTGTTTTACGTGAAATTTTGGTTATGAAACATGTAAAAGAATGCTTAAATTCGTACCTTGTCTAGTGGTCCATTCCGATCCAAGTAGACCAGTTGATGACTGATGTTCACCATTCAACAGTTCTATTTAATCAAAATTGGACGGGCCGTCAAATCTTGTTCAGAATGGAGTGCCACTATTCATCATTTCTTGCCACATGTGACATTTCTGCCAGGTTTTCATTTGAAAATTAGGCGAAGTAACGATTTCAAGACTGATGACTCCCGACACTTTGATGGTAAGTGGTATGGGGATTTGATCGTGTATCGAGGCCTTACGATTACACCGAAAAAAAAGGATGCTAATTTAACATTTTGGATGTAAAAAAGTGTGCGACAACTCACAAAACGCTGAATGAGCCGCTACAGAAATTACTTTAGCAATGTCGAGCTGTAAAAATAACTGCTGCTCAACGTTTTTTGAATTGTCGCACACTTTTCTAAATCCAAAATGTTAATTCAGTATCATTTTTTTCGGTGTAGCAAACTAACAAATGAAGAGCAGGTGAGTTGTGTATCCTCGATTAAACTTGGACTTGTTTCGAGCGTATTGATCATGAAGAAGATTAAAGCCATTTTAACAATTAGGACTCCAATCAATACAAAATATGAACTTGATTAGTGACAAAGTTATTGATTAGAAGCTATATAGTAACCTGATGGAGAGAGCAACAGTGGGAAAACAAAGGGAGAAAACGGGAAACAAGGCTAAAATACACAATTTATAAAAACCGATTTTTATCAATTGTGTTTTTTAGCCTTGTTTCCCGTTTTTTCTCCTTGCTTTTCCACTGCTATCATTGTCTCGGGCTGCTCATAAAAATTTGTACCTATGACACAGAGGGTATGAACAAGAAGCTTCTCCACTTTACATGGTAAGAATAGGCTTTAAGACCCGAAAACGGCGACGGTATATTTTGGTTTTTGATGATGGGAGGGGAGTCATTTGCCAACTGGTGACGATTACCACAAGTCGCACTCGCTGCCAATTTCATAGTATCCAAGATAATTTTTCTCGAAAATAGGACACGATCGGCCGTAAAACTACGTGAAAATATTGAAATGAAGCAGTTGAGAAAAGTTTTTGGTGCTGTATGCAAAACCACATTTAAAGTAATTTTGTATTTGCATCTGCGTTCAGTATCCGCCAGTTTTATTCGTCGAAATAAAATCTTGCTATCAATGACACATTCAATGTTCTTTGGATTCATTAAAAAAAAAAAAAAAAAAAAAAAAAAAAAAAAAAAAAAAAAAAAAAAAAAGTCTGCAATTCAACAATTTGAGCAAAGGTAAAACGTCTATTTTTTCAATTTTTTAAAAAAAAAAAAAAAAAAAATTAACATTTGAACAATGTTCCACTGCTACAATGAATGGATTGTGCTATTTAATTGGGGGTGAACTTACCTTTCAAAACTAAGAAAATCTCAAATTATCGGCGAGTAGGGATCGGCTTGATAGAGCGATCACCAATTACTACACATTCTTGCTACCATCCTGTTCGTAATCGTCTGAACCACTTTCTACTCAAAAATTCAAATTCTTGCATCATAATGAGATGTGTAGCTGAAAAATGACTTATGTCCTCCGGTTCAAAAGCAAGCATTACGTCGATCTTTCGTAGATCCATTAACAATGATAATATGGAAATGTCATTGAGATATTAAAGCCAGTCTGAAGTATTCGCTAATATTTTAATACCATCCGTAAAAAGGTGCCATAAATTTTAAACGAGACACTTTGTCGCGTCGTCTCCCGGACGTGGGAACGTAACTACATTTCAACATTGCCAAATTTTTCCAAATTGAGTTTTTACCTGCAGAAACTTGGATATTTTTAACTGAAAATTTCACTGATTTTTCTCAGGATCTCATGCAAAAATCAGACGAAATTCGGATAAAACTGGCAAACGTACATTCTCGTAAAAAATCGAATTAATTTTAAATTATCAATTTTTCAATCTTGCAATGAAGTTACGTTATTTCGTGCAAGAAACGACAAATTATCAGTGGCTACTAAAATTTGGAATAGGTACACAATTTAAATGTAAGCTGTTTGAAACGGACCTATATTGGTACAAATAAAAGTAGCCTCAGAGATTTTTTCCGTTGTTCGAAAATCTGTCAACATTCAATTATTCATGATGTAAGTTTGAAAGTATGTTTCGTGTTAGTACCTAAGTAGGTACGACCGATGTGCTTGTAAATGAATCTTACTGCAGAGAGACTCATGATCAAAACATTGCAGTCACACAAGGAGGGTTAGTTGACGAATTTTTTGGCACAATACCGTCCTGAAAAAATCTCCGCACAAATTAGAAAAATGACAATTTGAAGGTCTTTGTCTTTTAGAGGCCTTTGTCCACTAGATTTCTTGTGGAGGAATGCAACTTCAAACCTCTTTTTCTCGATTCAAACAAGATGCGAGTTGATGCGTGTCAGTAACTCAATCCATTTAAAAATGACAATTACTAGTGAGAGTCGATGGGACTCAGTCAGTTTCAGGCTATCCAGAAAATAAACCAAAAATAATTTTTCACACATATAATTTTATTTAAATAAAGAATATTATAACATCATTTAGGCAGTTTACAAAAATATAACTATAATGAAGCTACATGTACAGTTGATACATTTTCAATTAGGGAATCTAATATCCTTCCTCGTCATATACACGGTAATTTTCATTCCCCTCCATAAAATCCACAACATTTTCTAAGATCAGCGACAGCACCTGCCAAGAGACGTCGATTTTTTTTGCTCAGTTCAGAAGTTGCGTGACTAAAATTTAGGACTAGGAATAGAAATACTTGAGAACTTCTGAGCTTCAAAAATGTATTTATAAATTTTAAAAACTTCTTACTAAGTTTGATTTTGCTACTTTAGTTTTATGAGGGCTAAAGGAAAGTGCGTTTGGAAAAATTCGATTGATTAAAAAAAATGAGTGATGAGCAACACCGAGGTCTCTATGAGCATCAGGGGAAACAACATAAAAATGTAGGTAAAATGAGACTTACTGAACATAAAAAAACAAATCAATTTTGATTTATGAATATTAGTTACTTGAGCTAATGGGCGAAAATGGAGGACATTTTCAAAATCAGCTATTAAGAAAAATCCATGCATGTAGTCATCCTGTAATTCTTCACCTTACTTTACACCCTCTAAAGTGACTCCACGTTTTCTTCTTCTCCTTTCCCACTCTTAATAGTTAGATTATTATAATTATCATAATTTTTTTTTTAAATCAGAAGTTTTCTCACTGATGTGATTATGGCTGCTTCCATGCTGCGGAAGAACGCAGTATGAACATTCAAACTTTGCCAAATTTCCTCGGAAGAAAAAAAAATAGAAAAAATATGAATATACTGCTTTTTGATATTTTTTTATTCACTAAATTAAACTGCGTGCGATGACAATACTCAGAAAAATGCAAACAGAAAAATCCACAAGTTTCTTAGGAAATTCGAATTTCATCAGAGGAAAAGCGGTGGTTTGAATGTACTAACGATTTTCCTTTGTAGGGCCAAATACTGGCTGCATTGCCGAATTTCTACTGATAAAATAATTATCTCCGAAAAAAGTTATGGATATTTTTTTTAAATGCTTGGATGGTTTTGATTGAGTCGCGAACAAGATTCTCCGAAAAAATCAGAGAAAATTGTGTATTGATTCGCAAGAAAATTCGATTTAAATCAGGGAAGATTTCGCAATGTCCGTAGGCTCATACGGTGTTTTTCCTGAGCAAGGCAGTATAAGTATTTTATCAGTGTTTTAAAAGAGTTCTTGCCAGGTGCTGTGCTTAAATTTACGAAGATGCTCCGAAGAGGTCCGGAAAGCAAACAAACAAACGAAAGAAAGAGAGAACATAATAACACTAAATACTCAATTGGCACTGAGCATAACAATGAATATAAAATCAAAGGAATAAACAAGTTCAAGCTTTGAGACCAAGATGATAAACCTCCGTCGGAGAGGCTGATGAATTCGAGGGACTTTTTAGTTCATACTGAAGGGAAAGAAAAAACGATCAGGGATTTGTAAAACTATGTATAGGCACATTGCTACAAATTAATTGAACTACTTTTTAGATTCACATTCCACAAGAATGTTTGCCCCACTCCAAAATAAGAGCCATTTTTCGGTGAATTGTCCCGAGTTTCTGACGTGGTCGAACCGGCGCGCGAGGTATCGCATCAGTTGCGTGAGAAATCTTTAAATATTTCGACAATTTTATTATGAAACGACGCTAGCTGTAGCGTGTGATCACTCACGATGAAATAATTACATGACTTTGATAGATGAAACAGGATTTGGCTTTTAAAATAAGGTTCGATACGGTGATCGATCTCTGAGTAGAAAGCAACGTTTTTTTCGTAGCCAAATCCTGTTTTCATTTCTCAAAATGTTGGAAATTGTCTCGTTAAGAATGATTTTTTTTATTCATCCGCTAGGGCTGCCGTCGTTTTTTTTACAAAAAAGTCAAATATTCCAAGAATTTTTACTATATCGATGCTATATATCGCACCACCGTACGACCAAGCTCAAAACCCGGAACGATTTAACTTAAACCACTCCGCTGCAAGAGTGCTTACATTTTAATAGCTATAATTACTTTTTACAATTTACACACAAAAAATGAAAAGGTACATGAAGCAATAATAGCGGAGAAGCACTCGAAATAAAAGGGGGAAAAACAGAAAATGGATTATTTCGACCAGATGCAGGGCGTAATTTTAAGAGGGGGGGGGATAACTAGTCCCTTGCATTTTAAATCTGATAATTGTTTTGGTCAATTTTGGGGATTTTTTTTCAATTTAAAAAAGGCATTTCGAAATTTTACTTTCTTCCCGAAGTTAAATTTACCTCCTGCAGATAATCCCTCCCCCGTTCCCTCTAGAATTGAAACACCAGTTTATTTATGCAATATGAAAATTAAAATGAATAACTGAAAAACACTCCATAAAACTAGAAGTATGACGATTGTGGTGAGTACAATTCACACCAACATTCTAATTGATTTGGACAAAAAGATATTTTTCATTGTCAGTTTGAGGATGAACAGATGCATGAAAAAGATCAGTGCGAATGAGTACGTATTTCATGTGCAATGCGTAACATTTTCTGCAACAATTCATTTAGTTATAAAAAATTATGACCGTGAATGAGGTTTCAAATATAAGTACAAGTACACAGAGAGTTTTCGAGTTATGAAAATTGGATTTGAAGTAAAGGTAAATTGACAAAATTTAATGAAGTAACAAATTAAGTGATTACACTTAAAATATATTTAGTGAGGTAATTAACAAAATAGTATGGAGTCCTGCACTTTAAAGTATGTACATCAACTCTAAAATGATGAAAAGCAAAATGCTACAATATTGATTTTCTTATAGAATCGCTATTCAATAGCAAACATTTTACCGCAACGCAGTAAACCATCTTAAAATCGAAAAGGGAAGTTTAAATTGAAAAAGAGCAAAAATGTTTTGATAGTGAAAATTATATAAATATGCATTTGATACAAATAATTTACAAATTTTAGGTAATTTGCTTGATATGTTTCGTTATGATGAGCAAATTGTAGCTCTAGGAAAAAATGTGGAGTTTTTTAAGTATTTAAAGCGCTTTTACATGGAAACAAATGGTTGTTTATGAGACGTGTTCAGTTATATTAATCATCAAATACTTTATTATATAATTTTTGGTTGCCCTATCTTGTGTCAACTTCCGAGATTTTATTTGCACATTAAACTGAAAAATAATTTAGCTAGTTCCAGCTTAAAAGATTTACCCTCCTAAACAAACGAGTTGATAGCTTTTTTCTTTCTTTCTTTTAATGAAATGAATATGCGTCTTCGATATTGCAGAAAATGTAGATTTGTGGATTGTATTTCAAATCCATCGGCAAAAATATTTAACCTGGTGAAACTGGACAATTTCACTCATTCTGTTTCACTTTTTACTCTCCTCTATTTTGGAAAAGGCACATATCCACCTGACATTTCTACGATTTTGCAACTTATCGCCGTTCTTTTCGGCCAACTCAAATAGTTTGTGAACATTAAGTGCAAATATTAAATGCACACGTCAACTTTTACACTTAATATTCCGAAAAGTTCTCTAGCAATAACAAGTATTTTTAGGCGGTCAAATTATGGAGACAAAACCTTTTGATCATTAGCGAAGAGACGTGTCAAAAGTTGCACAATCTCAGTATCGTCAAATCATCGTTTCCTTCGTGAAAGAGCGTGACTGCATTTCGATGTTGCAAAAAGTTCACTCGCGAATTGCATTTTTACTGGGAACATCTTGAGGATTTCAAACTGAGAATGTCCTCAATTTTTCCTCTGATCTCTCAAAAATCAGAAAAATGTTTTACGAAAATTGCAACTTCATTCTTGTAAATACTGAATTGTTACATTCAATTTTGCAACCATGGAATAAAATTACGTTCCTTCATCCGGAGAAACGACAAAAATGTACTCGTACCCTTCAGCCTGTGTCACACTATCAAAATACTCCATCAAAATTTCAAGGTCAAGTGCTGTGATTGGTCCAAGTCATCAAATAAGCCAATCACAACGCCTGACTTTGATATTTCGATGGTTAGCTTTGATAGCGAGACACAGGCTTTTTACGGATTAAACTCCACGCAAGAGTCCCCTCATATAAATTTTTAATCGACAAAACACATTTTCCTTTTACTTACAATGATTTAAAAAAAGAGGAAAAAAGAAGAAAATGCGCTCCACACTGTCAAAAATTAAAAACATTTTAGGGCATCCTTACACCATCTATTGGTCCGACATTTGAGTTATTGCTTTGTAAATTCCAAGCTGAACATTTTTATATAATTTTCTGGGATAGAAAATGTAGAATATCAGAGTATCATTTAGCTAGAGTAGCACTACTGTGAATGATGCCCAAAACAAAGATATACACAGATTTAAAGAAGTTACAGAAACAGAGGTCTTACTCTCTGAAGGGACGGCTTTCAACCAAGGACAACGAATCTATAAAAAGCACCGTAAAATCGACAAGATGCCACTGATCAGTGGCGTGGCGTGCTTTGCGATACATCGATTGATCTACCGTTTAAACCTATGGAATAGGATCGATAAACAGAATGGACCACTAGACAAGGTACGAATTTAAGCAATCTGATACATGTTTCTTAAGCAGAATTTTACGTAAAACACGATTTGCACAACGAAAATTACTGAAACCAACTTTTAACGAAGATATGAACGTTTTTATTACACATTGGTTACGAGGAATTTGAACTGCCCGCTCACAAGAAACTCAAAGCTCTACGTGAGTCAAATCGCACACTACAACGGTTTCAGCGATCTTCTCAATCGAGCAATGTTCATTTCCCACCATGTGTTGATCAAACTATAAGCAATTTGCTATAGCTGAGCCAAAGTGTCAAGATTGATCGAGGTTGCCAGATTTTTATATCGCAGAGACTGTCATGATAACGTTTAGCGCGCGATGTGAATCACGTAGAGCATTGAGTTTTCATGAGCGGGTGGTTTGAATTCACGCATTTAGAATCATTAAATATCTTCGTAAGGAATTGATTTCGGTAATTTTCGTTGGAAGAATCGTGTTTTACGTAAAATTTTGGTTTAGAAACATGTATCAGAATGCTGGGATTCGTACCTTGTCTAGTGGTCCATTTCCAAAATGTATACTTTAATGATCGATTCTTTACCATTGCTTCAAATGAGGGAATATCGATCATCGATCATTAACGCTACGCCACTGCCACCGGGAGTGAGCATCAATATAATAATAAAGAAAAAAAATAAGGAAAAAAAGTATCTATTCTTATCGTTCGCGGTTTTCTCGTATCGTTTTCTCATGCAGAGGTACTACAGTGTCTTTCAAACTCCCCCCCCCCCCCNCAATAACCTTTAAGGCTCTTTCATCCTTTTCATGGTGACCCCCTTTAGTTTTTTTTTAGGAGGGAAGGGAGGTCCCAAAAATATTATTCTTCGACCTACAAGCACACACAAAAATTTCAAATCTCTACCTCAATTATTTGGAAAGTCACGCTGGGGATGGGGGACTTTTGGGTCACCCTATATATTTCAGGGACCCCGTGCGAACAATCTGGGAGAGGCAAAAGTTACGTTTGGAGGTGAACGCTGTATTTCGCCTATAATTGGTGGTCACTGACAGCGAGACTAACACACTAAAAAATCAATTTAAATTGGACGTTTTTCTATCAAACGGGACTATGTGCATTGTGACGTAAGCCCTGTTATGCATATATTCTTATGGGTCTCAAGGCTTATGTCTTAATGCACATACTTTCGTTTGAAAGAAATACGTCCAATTTGCTTAATAAGGACCTATGAATGTCGGGGTGAGCACTTTTCCCCGCATAATTCAGCAAATTAGGTTAGAATTGCCAAACTAATTTCTGAACTATTAGGCAATCAGTTGTCATTCGGCGCGATCTTAAACTTCCGAAAGTAACAGTTACACTCTAGGGAAGGTAGCAGTGCGAGGTCTCTGAAATATGTTGTCCCTGAATGTAAACATAGACTTTCGTTGATTTCTTAAAAAATTATCTAAAAAGGATGTGTGGGTTTCTTTCCACAAAAAATGGAATGTTTCCTAAAAACTAAATCACTTCCAATATTGACCCAGACGCCACTAACACTTGTTTGATATGTTTGGAGTTATAGAGTCTACTGATATGATCAAATGATATGTATCGTTAACTGTACACAAGTATGAAATCTGTGCACTCGTCGAGAGAAACCGTTTGCTCATTATACGTACCAAGTAATAAAAAATTTAAAATCATCAAAGATTTGACCTTCTGGTCAAAAAGAAGAGGAGGTGAGTCAAAGTACTTATTTTCAGGTATGAAATTCGGTTGTGATGATAAAGTTTGAAGCCTTTACTGGGGGGTTTCACATACGGATTGATCAATAATAAAAACAGTTCACTTAAAGAAATATCAAAATCATATTTTTCAAACGGTTTCTCCCGCTTTTACTTCACTTAAAATACTGACCCTAAACTAGAAGCTCACCCTTCAACTTATAAGATGATCCTAACTTTATACAAATCTTCCTACGCCCTCAGTATGTTCTACGATCAGACATTCTTCCAAATTATAACAGTTCAATAATTTTTCCTCTAAATAAATTCCTATCATTACAATTGAGCAACATGTAGTTGTACGCAACTTACAAGATACACATGTACATTACATACACTTATTCGACCATGTGTTTGGAGTGGATAGTGTTTTTCCCCCAACACAATGCACCTAGAATCTATTTACAAACATATTTTTGAAGTTCACCTAAAATAACGTGTCTGAAGATTCAGATTTCTTCTTACTGGTCTTGAGAATATTTGATTTATTCTAAAACCGAGATGTTCTCAATTTATCTCAGACATCCGCCTTGAAGAAAATGAAAAAAAAATATGGTCCAAAAGACACAGACACTATATAATTGACTAGGTTTTACACATTCTAATATTTTCCTCCGTTATTGAGACCAAATAATTTTTGAGAGAATCAAAAAATCTTAAACTGTTCATTTCAGAGACAAAGAAATATCCTTTCAAATTATGTTTGATAAGTAGAAAACATTCAAATTATGAATAAAATCACAAAATTAAAATGCTGCATTTAAAATATTGATGAGAATAAATTAGAAAATGCAAGAAAAATATGTCTTACGGATTTCATCGCCGACACAGTAAGTTTTTACTAAATCGAAGAGGAAAAGAGGAGGGTAAAAATAAGATAAATACACTGATAAGCGCTAAAGGTCTACGTAGAAGTATTTGGAAGATCTTGAAAAAAGTGCACTCTCTTTGGTATGCTTTGTTTATATTTTCTGAAGGAGGAGCTAAAATTAAGACTTAAAATTTAACGCCTCAAGATTCACTCCCTAATCAAATTTAGCGAAGAAAGATTACGACTCCAAACCCTACAGTTTGGCTGAGCGATTTCTTGCTGTTAGTTATCAACGAATACTTTTGGGGAGATGAATTTCATAACCCGGCGCAGAGATCTTTCATTCCACGGATAGAGTTGTCTACCTTTTTGTTCTGGTCGTTTACAAAAATTATTTTGCTTCTCATCGGCTAACTGTAAGGTTTACCACTGATTAGTTCCTCTATGAAATTCCCTGTGATTCATCTTCTCACCAATTTTGATACCAAGACTAGCATCTGTAAATACAGATCTTATCAAATTTCTATTCGTTCATTAAAAACTCAACACGTTGCCCGTGCATCTGCAGCACTCTATAAAAGTCCGAGCTTTTCCAATGTAACCGCGGAGTCTCCGTACAATACTGCCATAGGAAGGAAAAACTTGCGGTCTGAACATTCGAGCGTTGCCGGATTTCCTTCGATAAAATGTTATTTTTGATGAGGTCATGAATAAACGTCTTTGAAATTTTCAGATACTGTCGATTACATTGCGAATAAAATTCTATGAAAAAATGAGAGAAAAAGATCCGGAAGTTTTCAAACAAATTCGCATTTTATCGAAAGAAATGTGGCAAAACTCTGATCATCAGACCTCTGCACTTAGGTCCTTTTCTAAAAACCACGGCTTATTTCGTACGAATACGTCCAGATGTTAGAATATACACGATAGGAGGTAGGACTGATCCTCAAAACGGAGAAAACATAGCATGAAAACAGACTCTGCGGCTCTGGTTCCACTATCACGTGATGCGGAAGGATATGCTGTTGGAGTAGAGGAATAGAGTTAGAAAACTTAGGACGAGGGTTAGATTGAGCTGAGGATTGGAGTTGAGAGTGGGCGAGGCGTGGCTGCTCGGGGGCACCATCACTTCGACCTCGGAGATTTTGAACATGGAGAGCAAAACGTGCGAGTGCACACTCGGGTCACGCGAATTGATCCTCGAGCTGATGTCTTTCAGCGGCTCCGCGCACTCGTTCTGCAAGAGACAAAACCACACAAGTGAATAGGATGTCTTTTAGGAGCACTTCATTCGGACTTGATGTATGAGCCATACTTAGGTGAAACTTTATGATACCTTTTGTGCTCATTCTGAACATCATCCACGCCAAAGGAAAGGTGTCGCTGAGGGTCGTTTCTGGGCCAACCTTGGCTGAATGGACCACTAGACAAGGTACGAATTTCAGCATTCTGATACATGTTTCTTCACCAAAATTTAACGTAGAACACGATGCGCACAGCGAAAATTACCGAAATCAACTCCTTACGAAGATATTTAATGATTCTTGACGCGTGAATTCAAACCACCCGCTCATGAAAACTCAATAATCTACGTAATTCACATCGTGCGCTAAACGTTATATCATGACAGTCTCTGCGATATAAAAATCTGGCAACCTCAATGTTGACGCTTCGGCTCAGCTATAGCACATTGCTGATAGTTTGAACAATACATGGTGGGAAATGAACATTGCTCGATTGAGAAGCTTGCTGAGACCGTTGTAGTGCGCGATTTGACTCACGTATAGCTTTGAGTTTCTTGTGAGCGGGCAGTTCAAATTCCTCGTAACCAATGTGAAATAAAAACGTTAATATCTTCCTTAGGAGTTGGTTTCAGTAATTTTCGTTGTGTGAATCGTGCTCTACATGAAATTCTGGTTAAGAAACATGCATCAGATCGCTAAAATTCGTACCTTGTCTAGTGGTCCATTCCCTCATGGGGCCGTCCTTAAATTGAACGTATTTATGCTAAAAGGAACTATGTGCATAGGGTTTGCGTGAGACTTAGTTCCTTTTGGCATAAATACGTCCAATTAATAGAAGAAGTCGGACAAAATTTGGAAACTTTAAACGCTTGTAACTTCGTTTATCCAAAACTTTGAAGTTCTAAAAGTAGTTCCATCGGTCTCCTCCTGAAATTTTCTTCTTGGACCCCCCGTGAAAGGTGACGAAATAAACATCAAAATTTGCAATTTTAGTCAAAAATTTCATGTCCGACTTCTCCAATTGGTTCGATCCACTGAGCGCCGGTGGAAAACATAAGTTACATGCATTATTATAAATAAAAACTTGGGAGAGAAACACGAGCAGCGTTTTGAAAAGAGTACCTCCAAACAATATTTGAAAATACTTACTTTCTCTTGCTGAAGGAGATTAGAATTTTGTCGCTGTTTGTTTTGACTCCGGATCAAAGAGGAATTCGAGTCGACAATTTTGGCGACCAGCACCACATTCTCCATCGCCATGCTGAAGATAGACAGGACGCAATTCGTCTGCAACAAGGGCATGGTTCGATTAACCACTCAAATGTAGGTTTTAAAAGTTGAAAAATTGTACCGAAAATATTGAATAGGTACCAAGTAAAGGAATCAAAGATTGAAGAGAGGCTTAATGGGTTTGTTGCAAACTTTAGCTATGGAGCAAGACAAATAGTTGCATCCATTGGACCACGGCTCAATAATCACGACAGGCACACACTGCTGATTTAATTTATATTCTTAGGATGTAAAATTAACATTCACGGTATATCTATATCAATTTTTCATGTCAAGCCTACATAACATCTTTTAACTGGCAGCGCCCTACCCTCATATCGGGCCGAACTATTTCTTGTGAGATACACAAAACCTTTATGAGATTGGTGACAGTCGATTAAAGTTTGGTACCTGTTTGCAGATTTTTAACCTCCACGAGACACACACACAAGAGAAAAAAAAAAAAAAAAAATCTAAATCAACCTCCGGGTTTCATGAGATACAACTTGGACATCCAAAATACTTTGTCAAGAAATGCTTACTTCTTCTGTGCGGTTTCAACTTTCCTTTCTGATAGGAAACTATTCCTTAGAATTTGTAATTTTCAGTATGCACCCAATGATGAATAAAGTATTACAAATCATGGACGGATGAAACTTAGCAACGTCTAAAGCAGCTGAGCTTTCCCGGGACTCCTATACTTACGAGTCGTAATTGGTTTATCGGAGGGAGTTTGCCTGCTTAAGTGCTTGCATTCGATTAAGTATATAAAATATACGCAGGATTAATGTGTATGAGCTTTATTTAATGAGTGAAAGTTCATGATATTTACGTGTTACGTCGATGCGATCTCGCTAGGTTGCGTGATACGTTAACTAATCTACTCATACGTGTACATGACCCCGCTGGCTCCAGCTGCATTACGACGGCTAGATTGTCAATAAGTCGAGATCAATATGTTGTGGCTCTGCAGCTAAAGGATGCAGTGCCTCTATTTGAATATGAGTCCATTATTCATTTGCACGCGCGTTCTTGCTATGATTTCACCTCTAAAAGTAAATTACTCAACAGGCCCATTCACGAATCTCAAGACATCTCTGAAAATTTGTAAAAGTTAAAACCCCCATCCCCCTGGATATTTTCATCCGCCTCTCAACATAATTTTAAGATCTAACTAAAATGACACCCCTTCACATTTTAAATTTTGTGTGATAAAGAGATGTCACAACTGGGCTACATTTTGCAAAAAGGAACTACTATTTTAGGTCCGTTAATGTTCCTTTTCGTCTGTATGGCTCGTATTTGGTTTGAGAAGCGACCTAATTAAAATATCAGGCGCGAACTACCAGGATCGAACCTGAATTGCATTTGTAATTGTCCGATGTGCTAACTACCCACAAGTCGCAACGTATGAGTGATATTGAGGAAAACAATAGTACGTCAGATAACATGAAGCCCCAATGAAGATAGTTGTCTTTGATTTAGATTTGTCTGGATGTAGTTGAACTTACGTTGGGGTTCATTGATTTAAGATGTGCCTGGAGCGCGGCAACCGCATCTCTAATGTCCATCCCAACGATGGGTTTGAGTAGTTCCTCGTCGGCTTGGCTGTACCCCAAGAATATGTAGACGCCCGGACTCAGCTTATACGCATCTGCAAAGTAAATAATGGAGCATGACGTCCGTGAAACACAGTTTCCCAACTTCAAAAATATCTAGGAAGATCATCTAGCAGAATGACTCATTTTGGCAGAATATCATTCCTGCACGAAGTACATTTGTGGTAATTTTTTCGATTATCGTTGCCACACAAAATCATGTTTGCACAAATTAGATCAAAATTTTGGAAGTAATAGCAAGAATTAAGAAAAAGTTGAAGTATAAGCACGCAGATGAAAATAATGGAAAATTCATGGACGAAAATCTGGACCCTGACGATCCCTGTTGGACTGCTGAGTAAAGTAAGAAATAATTTTTTCTATCTTTGTTCACTCATTTCTCTTAAATATGCCTCATATTTTTCTCGACGTTGCCATATATTACAAAATTATTTGTGCGAAAACGATTTTGTGCGGCAACGATAATGGGAAAAATTAACACAAATGTACTTTGTGCGGAAAAGGTAGTCGGCTCTCATGTTATTTCCCCACGAATGATTACATTACACTGGACACTGGTGCATACTCTTCGAATTGAAGACGTTTTAAAGGTTCAAAATTTATTGAGCACTCTATCTCGTTGGATTGGTCTTGCTGCGTGGTTACGACCAACCGACTGGCGCACAATGGTATGAGTCGATGGAAGAGCTCGGAAAATTTTTTGAGATTTTGAAGGCTCATACTCTATTGTTACAAAACGTGGATGTCTCAAACTTGGTGCCATTGGTTTTCTCATTTTTGATGATTCAATTTTCTCAAAATTTACGTGAGGAGGCATCTCTTAAAATTTAACGAAATAAACATGTACATTGTACAATGTACATTTGCAGTTTTAGTTAAAAAACTGATGTCCGACCTCTTACATGGATCCGATTTATTGTACGGCGGATACACATGCAACAAACACCTACGCACTTGGTTCTTGATAACTGGAATTCTTGGTTTTCCCGTACATTGTATTTTCCTCGATTTCCACAAGAAAATGTCTGGTAAAGACCAAAAAAACCTGGTGTTTTTCACATTTTCTACACCTCCACGTTGCTACGTAAAATATTAGCTTTTTACAGCCAAGTCAAGAATACATGGACCTCCAAATTCAAGCGTAAAAAAACAAGGCTCCTTCCAGGATAAGAAACACAGTAACAAGGACTTAGAGCGGGGAAAATAAGTTTGACGGGACAATCGTTTAAACTGCCGTGCTAAAAAAGAACGCCTTATGAGCCGTCAGACGTTGCCTAGTTTCCTCCGATAAAAACCAGATTTACTGGGAAAATTGCAAATATTATTTTTCAAAATTTTGAGACAGTTTTGTACGCAATTTAATCTAAAAAATCTTAGAATTTTGAGGGAACATATGCATAAATGTTGTCAAAAATACGTCTTTTAACAAGGGAAATTTAGCAACTCTCGAATTTTCATACGGCGTTCTTCCTTAGCACGGCAGTAGCGGTTAATACGTCACAAACTTCGAGTGAAATCGCAAAAGATAGACATTTTGCGGATTTGAACTTTGGATACGAGGACACGTGCTTTTTTCATTGGGTCTATATGTATATCTAGGCATTAGAGTTCAAAAAAATTTAATTTTGACTCTAATTTTAATTTCTGGAATTTCTTGGCTTAATTTTCCCCGCGAAATGGTGTGGACCCAGTACCATTTCTCCACCTTGTTACATACAATGCGGGCCACTTCTTGGTGTTTTTTTTTTTTTTTTTTTTTTTTTTTTTTTTAAGGTAAATTTGTATATCTAGGAGTGTATTGAGGGGGAAAAAGTCACCAGGAATAGGCCTCATGCAGATGAAGCGGCCGGAATAGCAAAGACAGCTGCCGCGGAAGGCCTGGTAGGACGGGGCCGCGTGGTTGTAGAAAGCGAAGTCCGTCTTGCACGGCGTCCGCTGCACGCAAACCGTGTTGCAGACCAACACCTCACCGTCCGTGCACTGACACACCTCGGAACAGTCAGGCTCCGAGTCTCTGTACAGCTGAACACATAAAAAACACATCATATATTACCATTATGCAAACCAGCCGTTTATTCGGCTTTCTTGACAACATCCTGTTTAGAATCCTTAACAATGCTCATTCCTTCATTTTCTCCTCATTTTTCCGAGATTTGTCCCTGACCAAATACCCAAGCTTTCTTCCACTTCCCTGGACTTCCATGGACTAAAAATGTATACAGATTGTCTAGTTTTTGTTCATTTTGTTCATTTTGGGAAATCCTGATTTTTCACTGCTGAATCCTGATTTCATAATTTTTCCAAATTCTGATCAAATCCTGCCTTTTTGCGGAGAAAAATTTAAACTTCTGCGCAAGCATTTGCAAAAGCAAAGAAAAATCAGATTGGACAGCCGACTTTTCTCAAATCCTGATAAAATCGGGATTAAAACCTGATTCACCTCAAATCCTAATAGAATCGGGAAAATCCTGATGCTAAATACCCTGTAATTATAGCTCTACGGGGGTATAAGTGCCGATTTTTCTTTCACCTTTCAACCGATTCTTGGGCGCACAAACAAATTTTCATTCCGAAAGTGTTCCTATTGTTTACGATATCTGGTCAATGAAAGCTCCTCTAGTATTCTCATGATTTGAAAATTTAAATATGTTTATTACGAGGTCAACAATGGCGGTTTAGCAGCAAGGACTTAACTCTGAGCGGTGGAGGCAGATATTACCAGTTTCTGGAACAGATTTCTTGATCATTTTTATAATTTTTCTTTCTCGATGAATCCCGATTTGGTAATTATTCTCGGTTGAACAAAGGTTGAAAAAAAAGACAGAAAAGATACATGATGAAGGATTACCACTTCCATATCCTCTTTTTCCTATTTTTTGTCATGGGAACGGAGTTCCCCATGATATTAGAATCGTTCCGTTGCTTTCGCTATGGGATTCCCTATACCTCTGCGACCTTGAGCGTTTCGCCCAGTCTCCGATTTNCCGCTAATCGGCCGCCCGCCGCGCGCTCAAGCAACATTTGCTGCGCAATGCTTGAAGTATCCACTTAGGTTTGTAGGCGCCAATGCACGTGACCCGCTGATCAGCCGCCCGCCGCGCACTCAAGCAACATTTTGGATACAACGATCGAAATATGTGTTCGCTCAGTTTTACATTTCGATGGCCAAATTGCGAAACCTCGTATCTCCGTTTGGGACGCCGAAGACTTGCTATCATAATTTATTATTTTTTTTTTGAGGGGTGGAGAAGGCTGGTCTAAGTAGTTTCTTGAAAACGCCCTTGATTTTTCTCCTGCGTGTTAGCAGATTTTTTGTATTTTCGAACAAAAAGTTGGCTTGTTTCTCTTCAAAACAAAAATAAAAAAAACAAGCCAACTTTTTGTTCGAAAATACAAAAAATCTGCTAACACGCAGGAGAAAAATCAAGGGCGTTTTCAAGAAACTACTTAGACCAGCCTTCTCCACCCCTCAAAAAAAAAAATAATAAATTATGATAGCAAGTCTTCGGCGTCCCAAACGGAGATACGAGGTTTCGCAATTTGGCCATCGAAATGTAAAACTGAGCGAACACATATTTCGATCGTTGTATCCAAAATGTTGCTTGAGTGCGCGGCGGGCGGCTGATCAGCGGGTCACGTGCATTGGCGCCTACAAACCTAAGTGGATACTTCAAGCATTGCGCAGCAAATGTTGCTTGAGCGCGCGGCGGGCGGCCGATTAGCGGGCCACGCGCATTGGCGCCTACAAACCTAAGTGGATACTTTAAGCATTGCGCAGCATTGCGCAATGCGTGTAGTATCCCTGTAGGTTTCTATACATCGATAATGTCAAAGTGAGCAATACGGGAAAATCAGTGGTGATGTTGCAAGTTGGCAGCATTGTTTTTCCTCCGTTTGAATATGTTTAAAATATCGATTTTATTGATTTTGTATTTCGATTGTATTACATACGGATGAATTAAGGAAAAGCAGTTCCTTCAACTTTCAAGCAGTGCCACTGGGGCAAATGTAGGGAGAAACGGAAGTAATTAGGGGAGCTACAATTGCTTTCTTTCTTTCTATTCCCTAAATTATTTTGTAGGCACAACCAAGGAAGAAATTTTGGCTTAATCAAAGTGACAGCTTCTCGCGACTTCGCAATAAAAGTTTCTGCGAGAAAGTTTACTACCACCATTGTGAGCGGAAATCTCGTGGATTTTGCGGGAGAATTTGTGAATATTTGATCTACTCGGGAGGATTTTCAAATCTTATATCAACTTAGTTCTTGGAAACGTGTTCTTCATCACGTTAAAAGCTTCCAAGTATATTCAAAATGATACGTTTTTCAGCAGAGAACTTTATATTTCCATACATACTTTAAGCGTTTGAAAATATTAGCTACTTTTTAATCAACATTTATATTTTTTTTTCGCCAAATTTCCTACACAAAAAAGAGGGAAAGTTTTTGGGAAAGCAAATCTTAAGATAGATTGCAGATTTTTTTTTTTTTTTTTAATGAGCCTCTGAAAATAAGTTTAAAATAGAAAAGTACCTTTTCTTTTGGCGGATGCAAAACATCGTTGATCATTACAGTTGTAGGCACGAATTTTACCTTGTGAAAGTCCCATATATTTTTTCCTCTCAATTTAGTTAGAGGAACAGACAAGTATTTCCTGACCCTGAAATAATGAACTTCAATAAACTTTATGGACTTTTAATGATAAACTTAAGTAAACTTTTTGCATGAATCAATTATGCAGCCTATCAATATATAGTGTTGGAGTTTACTGCTTGTTTTTCATTCTCTATGAACTATCCACACATTACTGTTCACTCTTATTATCTCAAAAATATGGCGAGATACTTTCGAACGTTGTAATCGGGATACGTTTTTTGTAATCTCCTTCGTCGATTCGCGTGGTAACGCCGGGCTAGGATACAACTAATAATACTTCGAGGGTATCCGTGTTGCATATGCGGTAAAGTGAAGGAGTTCTGACTTTCCTTACGCAAGCAGCAGCGCAGTTGATATGAAATCGAGGCTCAAAACGCCTGGCTTGGATACAACTAATAATGCTGTATGGACTTGCGTGTTGCATATACAGTGAAATGAAGGAGTCCTGGCTTTCTTACTAACTGCAGCGCAATAGAGGCTGTGTTATATTAAAGCAAAGCCAGGTGAACAGCGGCACACCGTTTCAAACCATCCGCGTTAACATTAATTTCTGTGAGCAGAGAAATCAACAAGTCGGTCCAAAATTTTAGAGAATATTCTTGAAATGATTGTTTATTATGGTAAAGATTTTGCTTTGACGATGATTATCAGTCAGCCTCCTAAAATTTGAAAAAACACAAAAAAAGATGAAAAAAGAGGAAAGAGAAAAAAAGAGGAAAGAAGATCAAATTAAGAAGGAACAAGTTGGATTTTGCAATCGCTAGCGATAGCAATATTCGTGATGGGAACGTTAGCTTCCGGGATATGAAAATGTTAAGGTACAGTTCGTTTGTAGTATCTTCTGAATTGAAGGGGCTATGTAATTTTGTGTTGACATCTCTTTTTTAACATTTTTAATTATTTTCTTTGCATACAAGAAAGCTGTTATGTACCAATTATTTATTTTCGTTGGATTATTTATGGTTTTCGGAAGTTAACGCATTTAAGTTTCAGGATCGCTTATTCGGCGTAAAGTATACATAAGGTGTCCCAAAAGCACCGGGACTTGTTCTGTAACTTCGAAAGTAAGATAGATACAGACATGATCTTGATCTCATTTTAAAGATCAACTCAAAATTGAAATCAGCGAGGAAAGTTCACGCCTACGGTCTTTAAGGAAGATTCTTCATCGCCGTAAATCGAAAAGTCGGCCTATAAAGTGATGCTTATTGTGTTTTTTTCATTTTCGAGGTGTCATTTATCAACATTTTGTACCACCAAACACAACAGTTGACAGTGCGTATTATTGCAAAGTGCTAAAGGAGTTGAGAATGCACATTTCCCGGAAACGGTCGGACTTGAAAGCTTCGTGGATACTCCATCAAGACAAGCGCGGCCTCACACATCGAGCTTAACACGTGAATTTATGAGTAAAAATGGAGTTGAAACAACCTCTCATCCCCCTTACAGCCCTGACTTGGCTCCATGTGATTTTTGGATGTTTCCTACGCTTAAAAAGGAGCTTCGCGGACGAAGATTCGTATCGAAGACGGAAATCCAGAATGCAATTCAAAACTTTTTCAACGCCATCCCAGAGGAAGAATTCAGGAAAACAATGTTGGATAAGTCGCAAGAGCGCATGAAAAAGGGCATCCGGTTTGATGGACGGTACTTTGAAAAGCAAAAGGAAGTTATGGAAGATTCGGAGGAAAGTGGATACGAATATTCACTTTTTGAATCCTGGTAAGCGAAAAATCTTCCTAAAAACCGTAGGGGTAAACTTTCCTCACTAATTTCAAATTGTCATATCAAAAGTTGGCTTGTTTCTCTTCAAAACAAAAATAAAAAAAACAAAAACGACAAAAAAAGGAACAAACATTTTGAGACACCTCAATAAAGAAACGCGGTTTCACTTTAGGGCATCGATACACTGGAAAACCCCCCAAAAAATAAAAATAAATGAAACTCGTTTAAACTGCTCTGAAACAAGAGTTAACTTCAAATGAGCAAAAGAGACTAAAGATTGAAGACCGTTCGGACGAAAGCTTTCATTTGCTGGTGATTCAAGTCATACCCTGATTATTAACAAGACGTAAAAACGCTAAAATCGTCACTCCTCTGGCGTAAAGGCGCACCTCAATATCCAGGTGAGCCCTGACCTCTGTATAACTATATGCTCTCTGGGACTCATGCGGAAATAGAGATATGCCTTTACGTTCGGGAAGCGACGGAATGACGATTGAGCCCACTGTAAAAAAATGCCTACCCCACCGAAGATGTTTGTGAGTTTGCGAAGGGGGTGGTGGTGGGAGGGGGGGCTGGAGAGGGTCCTTAAAATTCTGTTGATGGAAGGCGAATTATGAGATAAAGGCGGATGTTTTGCCTCGGT